GTGAACTTGGTTTGCCAGGATAGTGTAGACCTTACCCATCTGCCTTGGGAGAGGCCTTTCCTGTCACACACAACTCCAACCCTGCATGATCCAGCGGGCCCTTGACTCACATGGCAGAGCTCCGCCTCTCTTCTCAATATCTTGCCCAGTCCCACTCCGTTGACTGAATTAATTCACTCTCATAAAGCCACCTCTCTTTTCTTCTAAAGGAGTATCTGAAGACCTCATCCTTCCCCTTGTGCCTTTCCATCAGCTTGCTTCCTCCACCATGTTTCTGACCCACTGGTATCAACAGCTCCACCTCCAGCTGCATAGCTTAGCTCAATTCTGGTTTCTCAGAGAAGCCCAGATTGCATGTATGGCTCCTCCCCTTTTCCTTCTAAACTGCATTTCTTTATTACTCAGTGTCCACACCCAGGGTGAGTGCCTGGATAAAAATCTACCCTTCCCCCCAGTGACCCTTTCATTCCAGATGTAAGCACCAGTGGCCACCTTCCCAGGTCCAATTAGAGGCTCTAGACTCACAGTAGCCTAAGGCAGAACAATGTCCTCTTAAGTTTACCAACCTCCTGGATCCCAAGTCTGATTCTCATCAACCAAGCTTGTTATGGAGCACCACTAAGCAGTTAATGATTATTCTTGTCGTTAACTAGGAGGGGAGGAGCTTATTCCTCATCTTCACCCATTTCACGCCTTTCAGGACTCTGCACTCCACACTGACAGCACTTCCTCAGACTGGACTAGCCCAGATAAAGAAGAGAACCAGGCTGCTTCTCAGCTTGCCAGCTTGATGACCTTCAATAAGACATCTTCTCTTGGGAGGTCAGACTAGATGATCTCAACTCTTTCAGAAGAGTTGTGAAGCAATGAAGAGGGGAAAATACATATATGGGAAGGTGGAACTTGACTGTATAGTTGGATGGGTTTGAGAGAGGTCCTCTGATGACTTGCTGGGGGTGGGGGATGGGTGAAGATTCCTATGGGAACTTAGAGCTCTGGGAAGCACACTTCACTGAGGCACCCATGGGTGACTTGTAGGGTATACCTCTGTCACAGTAATTCAGAATCCTGCTCATCATTCTGACTGTATTGTTGGAGATCAGGTTCAGTTGGCTAACCCAGCCCTTAAACCCACTTAATTTCTTTTTATCCTATTAGAGGAATATGATACTCTGAGAACCTAAGATTCTAAAATGATTATATCAGTATCTTTATTTGGCTTGGTGTGGTTCTATCATCTCTTGTACTGCATCCATGTAGAAAGTGGTGGTAGAGAGCAAAAGTAACCTTTCCCAGTATGACTGTGATTATGAATTCTGCCCTGTGGCTTTTGATGCTGCTCTGGCTTACCAAAGGTCACCTGCCCTTGGCTACAAGAAAACCTAGTCCATTGCCTGGCCCATGTTAGGTGCACAGTAAATATTTGTTAAGTCAACATTGCCTAGTATATCCCTGAGTGTAGCAGTCTTCCATCCCTTTTCACCCTGCAGCTGTCTCCCTTATTTCGATTATGATTAAGTAAAAAGCTCCCTAAACTACTAGCAAAAGATGAGAATTTAGGCTTGAACTATTGGGGTATCTTCTGGGACCTAGTGGGAATATATGTACTTTTAGTTTCACACCCTTTCCCTCATCTTGCTCTTGGTGTTGCATATGTAATACTTCGTTGGGGTCAGTGGTGGGAACATATGAAAACATCTCTGGCTCAGCATATGAAAAAATTGGGAGACAATAGGATTTGAACTGCACATTGAGATACACAAGATCTCATAAGAAAGTGCGCAATGTTGGATGACCCAGGCTTCCTCTTGCCTTAAAGATCCTAAGCATCTGTAAGCCATATAAAGAGACATTTGGAACAACTCTTTGGAGATGGCTGACTTTAGGATCATTCCCCAAACCTGCTAAGCTTTCTACTGAAACATCAAAAAGACTTCCCTTGCTGGGTATGGTGGAGCATGCTTATGATCCCAGTGACTCAGGATGCTGAGGCAGGAAGATCACAAGTTCAAGACCTACCTCAGCAACTTTGCAAGACCCTCTCAAAAAATGAAAAGGACTGGGGATGTAGCACAGTAATAAAGCATCCTGGGTTTAATCACTGGTGCCAAAAAAATAAAAACCAACTTCTTACACTTGCCAGCTTCAACCCTGGCTTCACTCCCCTTGGAACAGGAAGCTTGTGCTAAAATGTGAAGTAGCTCTCTTATTCATTCCCTCTACTTTTATGCCCCCTCTCCACACCGCCATAGGTATCTCCATCTCACTGTTCATTCCTAAATTGGAGGAAACTAGGTTGATGAGAAATTCTGTTTTGACCATTTTCAGGCTCCTATGGGCAACAACAGGCCCAGCAAAAGCCTCCTTTCTAAAATCTTGCTTTTGCCTAACATCCCCTGGCTGCTGTCCCCATATGACCCAAATAAACAGATGATCATGTGAAGCCAGTAAGGCTGTTTGTTTTAAATAGCAAGCATCTCTACTAAGCTCTGGAGCAGATAGGATATTGGGGGCAAGGGAGAGGCTGACATTCAAATCTGTTTTGACCCCACTTTTGTCTCCCTGAAGAAAAAGATGTCTTCTGAATACTACTTCAGATATGTGCCTATTTAAATGGCATAGGGCTGTTCCCCGAAAATAAAAGAACTGGATTTATGCTTCTAGAAGACTCCAGGGTTCTAAGTGCTATGACCACTGAAGGAAAGCAGAAGAGAACAGACTGGATGGCATTATCTCAGGTCAATATGATGTATACTGTTTAGCTCCCTATCTCCCACCTACATATTCCCTTTAAATTTCCCATTTTCTCTTACTGTACAGAGTGGTCCAGGCCCAATCACAACTGAAACAGGTGGCAGACTCTTAAAGAAAGCACTATCAGGGTCAACACCAACCTAACCTTCCTAGGAAAAAGGCACTCACCCCATTTGGGCTGTTGTGTTCTAATCTCCCTTTGCTTCAGTGTCATAAGCAAAGTCAGCAGCACTCAGACATTCTCGTGTGTGTAATGACCTCTTCATGCTCAGCTCCAAATGCTGGGGCATTAAATATACCAAGATCAAAGGCCCCAATTTCAAGGTTCTTGATTTTCAGGATCATCTGTGCAGGGATTCCCCCCCCCCCCGGCCCCCAGGATGTACTATGGTGCCCTCAAAGGAAAGGGGCAAAGTGTTCATTTGTATTAGCTTTCTATGCTACTGGATCTTCTCCAGCTAATTCTGGAAATAGGCAAATATACCTCTGAGAACGCAGTTGAATGGGATGGATTGGCAGGATGGCCTTTCTCAGTGGCCCTTATAATGGTTTCTTTTCTGGCATTGTGTGATGGTGAAACCCAGGATCCTGAAACCACTGGCTTTGCTCCCCACTCCTTGGACTGGGTAACCAAGGAATCTGGGGCCATAACTGAAGGTCCCATGCCTGGGCTTGGGACATCAGAGCTAGATAGATAACACTCTAGGGTGCCCTAAATATGCCTTCTGCCGACCTATCAACACCACTGTACCAATGGGGATTGTGTGACCTCCACCAAAGAAGCAGAAGAATAGGGTTGGGTTTCAGGTGCTGATTTTTGTAGCCCAATAGCAATGTGTCAAGTGGTCAGATCTGTTCCTGCCCAGCAGTTTGATCTTTCTTTCTCTCTCTCTCTCTCTCTCTCTCTCTCTCTCTCCCTCAAAACTGGCTTCAGAGTAGCCCGAGGGATCGGGGATAAATGCTCCTCCTCCTGTGGCAAGGAGCAATGGAACAAACATTAAATAAACTTAGACAAGTCCCTCCCTTTTCTGAGTTTGTTTCCTTATTTGTAAAATTAGAACATTTGGGCAAGTTAGCCTCAAAGGTCTTTCTGATTGTAGCCCTGTAACCCAGGCTCCCTAAGCACTACCATCAGGGAGAGGCGGGCGGGCGGCCCCGCCCCCCAGAGAGCGCTGTTAAAACCCGAGGCAGCTATCCCGCCTCAAGAGCCCAGCGCCCACCCCGGGATCTCGGTCGCCAGGCGCCAGGCTTCCGCCCTCCACGTTGTGGTTCCCGATTTGAGCCACGCCCCCTTGGCCTGGACTGTGGACGCTTCGCCTTGACTCCGCTGACCAGGCCACTGAGCAAAGGGTGGTCTCTGGGGTGGTACACTCGGAGTCTCCACCCATATCAGACACTCCTGGACAAAGACAAGAATTTGGGGGAAGGAAAGGAAAGACTTGGCTTTAAATGGGAGGATAGTAAAAAGTAGAAAGTAAGCCAGGGCATGACTGCGGGATTCCCCTTTAGGTGTCTCACCCTGTGTTTACCCAGTGGCCCCATCCGCACCCGCTGATGTGACCCTGCAGACACTGGCCCTTTAAACAGAAGGCTGGCGGTGCGGGGTGTCCATGTGGAGCTGCTCCATGCCGTGTTGTCCTGCCCGCCTATTGGCCCGCAGCCCGGTGACGTAGCCTAATAGGATGCGAACGCACTGCGGGGGGAGGAACAAAGACAAAAAGTGGAACCGGATCACGACTCCGCTTCCTCTGCTTTTTCTCTTGAAGTCTGCACCCGTCAGCTCCGCCCAGAGGCGGATCCCCGGGGAATTGCAACAGTCCGGTGGTAGCGGGATTTAGGTCGCGTGTGGGTGGGGAATGGAGACCTAGGGGTCAGGCCAGTCTGCCATCCTTAGGTTTCCCTGACCTGGAATATCCTTATTTGAGTTAACTTAAGTCTTGAATTTTCCATCCTTCCCTCCAGCAGAACATATTTCGTTGTGAATGACCCAAGCACGCAATCCTTGCTCAATTTGTGGCTTGCAATCGGGGCGGGGCGGGGCGAGGCGGGAAAGCGGAAATACAGCGCGCAAACCTGGCTCCATCTCCCCCCACCCCCACTAGAGCCACGTGTGCGCACGCCGTTGAGTGGGCGGGGCCAGCACCGCGCGACCCCGCCCCTCTCTTCGTGAGACGCCGCGGCCCTGCGGGCGGGGGCTCCGGTCCGGGCTTTGGCTGCGGCCCCGGTGTAGTAGCGGGGGCGGCGGCCGGGGGCAGCGCGGCTCCTTCCCTTGTTGTGTGTGTCGGTGCCTCCTCGCCATCTTGTTGCAAAGCCCTTTCTTGTCGGCGGGACTCCCGGGGACCGCGGGGCGGGAGGCATCAGAAGGGAGGAAGAGAGGGAGGGCAAGAAGAGAGGCAGTGCCGCCTTTTTTTTTATCAGATTTTTTTTAATTTGCAAATTTATATTTTGCAAATATTTTGGGAGACATAGATTTTTCTCCCTGTGCTCCCCCGTTCTATTCTGAGGAGTGCGCTGCGCCGCCCAACCCTGTCGCCCCCCGGAGGTGATCCCTCCCTCCAGCCCGCCCGCCAGCCTGACCTGTGCCTGGCTCGCGGGCCGCAGCCTCGGCCCCGGCGCGCCCCCGGCCGCCCTCGGCGCGATGAGCATAGAGACGCTACTGGAGGCGGCCCGCTTCCTGGAATGGCAAGCGCAGCAACAACAGAGAGCACGTGGTGAGCGGCCGGGCTGGGCCCCTGGGGCACCCGGGAAGGGGAGGCGAGTGACCCCGGATCCCGAACACACACGAAACCGCAGGCAGCACTCCCCCTTCTCGGGCGGCCTGAGAAGTCGAGCAGTACACGGCTCCCCGCAAGAGCCGCCGCCTGGGAAGAGTGATGTGGGCAGTGAAAATAATTAATGAATTCATTAACATGCAGCGAGGGACCCGGCTTCTGCGGCCGCCACCTCAACTGCTTGGCACCCCAGTGCACCTTCAATGTGTGGGGGGATCCTTTCGCGGTGGTGGCCGGCTGTGCCCTTCTTAGCGCTGAGGATGTGTGAGCCGGGTGGGGGGGTAGGGTGAGGAATGGTGTTGCGTGGGGGTGGCAGACCCGCGTGTGCGTGCGTGTGTGCATGGGGGATGTGTGATCGGAGCTTCGGGAGAGGATGAACGGACGTGTACACGGGAGTGTGTACAGCACACAAGTGGGCGTGTGTGTAACGGGCTGGGGGAGGGGATTACTCTACGCCGTGCAGCTCTCCGGCTTCCCTGGCCCCGGCGGGAGGGTGCGGGGGTCGCTCCCGGCAGATCTACGCGCTGCTTGGGGCGGAGGCGGCCTTTGCAGAATGAAATGACATCGCGTGTCTTATGATCCTGGCCAGCCCCGCTGACCCCGCCTCCGAGAGCTGGGCTGGGTTGCGCGTCAGGGGTTTGGGTAAGAGCCGGGCTGATTGGGTGTCTGCGAAATGGCCTGCGGGTCGCTGGGGGCTGTCCCCGGGCCCCCCTAGCCCCACCGGACTTTAGCAGGTGTGGAATGTGGCGTGTCTGCGCGTTCCAAACCCGCTCTAGACTGGAATGTTGCGTGTGCCTGCGTTCCAAGCCCGTTGGTTACACCGGGTGGTGACGTGGACGGGCCCCGCCCCCGACCACGTGCACGGGGGACACTCCCGCTGGGGATGGCGCGGCCCAGCCCCTCCTAGCAGCCTCGCGCTAGGCCGGGGGCGGGGCCTGGGCGGGGCCCGCTAGGGGCCTGTGTCGGTTGGGCCCGGGTCCTGACCGCTGGGCATCTCCCTGGGAGAGCGTTTGCCCTTGGAAGGAGGAGCTGTGCCGCTCTCTCCTTTTTCTCCCCAGCCTTCTTTTTTGATCCCAAGGCGAAAGAAACCCTCAGACTGCAGGACAACAAGACACTTAGAGCTCAGGGCGCACATCTTCCCACTAAGCCCCAAAACGTTCTCATTAGGTCCTCCTCGCAACATCCCCTCGCCATACTCTGGAATGAGCCAAACTGAGAAGGGGCAAACTTTGTCGTTCCCTCGATAGAAAAGATGAGGATTTTATGGTCCTATCCTCACGCGCCCTTTAGTGGTGGTCTGTAGCTTCAGGGTGCTGCAGAAATAAAGGCGAGGAGAAAGACCACTGCTTTCAGGAATTCTGCGAGGGGCTCAGTCTGAGAACTGTGTGTGTGCAGTTCCCTGGGACTTCTGTGCCCTCTCAGAACCCTTCGGCCCGGTTGGTTGTGGCGGAGAGAGTGCTTTGCCCTCCTTTCCTTTTTCTCTGCCTATTGTTGCTTCAATGATGAGTCATGCAGGAGGTAGTAGTGTGGTGTGTGTGTGTATGTGTGTGTGCAAACGCGCGCGCGCGCACTTGCCTCCCTGCAGCTTGTGCTGCCGCTGCCGCTGTTTCAGTGGTGGGCAGGGGGAATGGCAGCGGCCATGGGGTGGAGGAGCTGCAGGTCCGTAGGCTCCGAGGGACCGACTAGCCTCTCAAGGTCAAGAGTCACTGGAAATATTCGACACACAGATACTTGGACCTTGCAGAACTGATGGGCTAGGACATCTGCTCACATGCCCCTCCCCCTTGTCTTTGGGGTCCAGAGCAGGGTCAGGTAATGGACAGTGCTAGTAGTGACCCAGAATGTCCTAAGTGTGGTCCCAGGAGTGGGGGGATGATTGTGCCACCATTAATACATGCAATTCAAGAGTGCCAACATGTCCCCACTGTGTATCAGGCACTGCTAGAGGTGAACCACATTGACTCTACTATCTCCCCAGGGAAGCTTCATTTCACCCTTGCCTTACCTGCAGGATGCCCAGCCATTTGGGGAAAGGGAAAAGACCCCACTGTCAGCCCTCCCATACTTGCCCAGTTAAATCACTCCAGAGCTGATCATTAAAATGGAAGAGGATGATGTATGCAGCTCTTACAAAAGAATGTTAAAAAGCAGATTTTTCTAAGATGTTGCATAGGCCTGCTCCTCCCCTCCCAAGTAGTGAGAAATAGGGGCAAGCCAAGTTTAGCTGCTGGGTCACAGCTTCTTGGTACTGGATCAGGAGGACTTGGGGATGGGTGAGTGCTGGAAAGCTAAATCTACTCAAAGAACTCATGTGTTTATGATCAAACATTCATTTTCTTCTTGAGGTTCTGTCCTCTGACCTGGAGTAGGAAGAGAGCGAGAAGAGGGTGAGATGTGAACCTGATGACCAGCTTTGAACAGAGATCCTCTTGTCCGCTCCCCACTTTCAACCTCCAGGGCAGGTTTCCTGGCCTAGACCAGACAGTTTGTTCCCATGATGAACCTGAGGATGTATGTGCACATGAGTCAAGTGTGAGAAATGAGTGAGGAAAGGGCAAAGCCATCCTGGTGCTCTTTAGTAGGGCCTGGCCTTGTCTTTCCCAGCATTCATGGAGGTGACTTGGACTGGATTCCCCAGGAAGCTGACTGGAGTGTCTAGAAGTTGCTGACCATATCCTGTCTTGGGCCTGCCATATGTGCAAAGCTCTCTGGTAGCATGTATATAAGGACAATGGCTGAGCACATTTGAGCCCACCCAGTTTGGATCCACTTAGCACTATGCCTATTGAGTCTCTGGGCCACAGTAGGTTGGGAAGGTGGCAGGCAGCACCATGTGGGCTAGAACTGTCTCCTCTGTATTACATCAGAGGATCACACTAAATTCTTTGGGGGCAGTATCTAGGTAGAGCCAAGGGAATGTGCTTGAGTATGCATGTGCATGAATAAGGGGAGGGGGTTGTACTTGTGGGTATAGCAGAACATTCTTCTAAAGAGCCTAAACACAGATTACTCCTGAAGGAGGTCCCAGAAACCAGTAGTGTACTGCTGGGTGGGAAATGAATTAGAACTGAGGAAAAAGGGTAGGAAGCTCTAATGGGCTGCTCTGGCCTGGGGCAGCCCTATTCTTCACTCTAGTCAAGAAATATGCTGGTCCAGGTGTGATAGAGCTTTGCCATTCTCCTGGGTCTTTCCTGGCACCTGTGAGGCACACCTGCTTGGCTCTGGGGGATGCAGAGAGAAGGAAGGGGAAAAGGAAGTTGCTATCTCCTAGGTAAGCTTTGGACTTGCTTTAAAATATGAAGTTTCAAGGGTAGCTCAGAGATATAGCACTTGCCTTACATGAGAAAGGCCCTGGGTTCCGTCATCAGCACCTCAAAAAAAAAAAAAATATGCATTTTCCATTCAATCTGGGTTCCTAGGACACCTGTTCTTGGACCTTGGGGTGCTGTCCCTCCCAGTAGTATCAGCTTGTCTCAAGGCCTAAGAAAGTTCTATCAGTCAAAGGAGTGGAGGTGGTGTTATGCCCAGAGCTTGAGGGCTTGTTTTGCAGGGAGCATACTGGGGTGTCCCAGGCTGGGCCTAAGAGCAGTTCTGTGTCTGGAACTCTGCAGGTTTCCTTGCCAATGTGGTTTGTAAGAAGCTGGACCACAGCAAGCTGGTTTTCTCTGGGGCAGTAACATAAGCCAGTGCTGGCTGGGAGAGGCCAGGGAGAGCAAGGCCTGCCCCAGCCTGGCAGCTCTCCTTTCTGAAGGGCAGGAGAGATAGGAAGAGGGCCATGAACTGGCAGCCCTGAACTCTGACTGCTGGGAAACCATGAGCACTTCCTCTATACTTCCTCCTTTGCTTCTTCCCCACCCTGGGAGGGGCTAGGACAGGCGTGGCTCACCCTGGAGTTGATTGGCCAAATGGCCCCGGATCCTCAGGTTTTCTGGGACTCCTGAGCAAGCTGGACTTGGGGGGGTGCTTCCCTCCTCCCTAGGGAGGACTTAGCCCCCACCCTACATCACATGGGGTGGCTTGTGTGTTTGGGGCGTATCCAGTGCTGTCAGCTGCCTTAGTCAGCACTGGGGGAAGGAGAGGGCTGATTGTCCAGCCTCTCCCTGGCTTGGAGGTGGCCCAGCTCTGTATCCAGGGAACTTAATGGTGGGACCTGAGAGAGGACTGGACAGGGGGCAGATAAGAGAGGGCTGTGGATCAGGAGAGGACCTCTCCCCTTACCCTGGTCAGCCAGCTCTCTAGAATCCTCACCTTCCTGCTGGGCTTCCAGCACAAAGGTCTGGGGACCTGCTAGACCATCCTGCCTACCTCTTTCTAGCTTGTGCTTCTGCTGCTAGGGACAGGGGGGATTTGAGAGAAATGAGTCCTAGCACAAGAAGGTGCAAGTGTTTTTGCTGAATGGTCCCTGAGGAAAACAGAGGCCTTGACCTAGCCTGGGAGTTCTGGGCCATTTCCTTGTGAGGTGAAGATGATATCCCTGCTCTGTGACTTGGGGCTCTTGTAAGGATGGAAGGAGGTGAGTGTATGTGAGAAGACACCTGCTGAGCTTGTGTTGATACAGCAAGTACTGGAAGTACAGGACATCCAGCCAAGTGTCAGGAGACTTGCTGGGTGACCCTCAACAAACACTTTGCTGCTCTGAGATCATTTATCACATCTGTGATATAAAGATCCTGTCTGCATTCTAGAAGATGCTGGAGAACTATTGTGGAAAGCCTTCCATAGAAGCTGTGATCTATCAGTGTCCTCTTCCATTCTTCTGTAGTACCCTGAGCAGTCTTTTGTGGCCTGGTCTCTGCCCAGCTCTGTGACCTCCTCATCTCTCTCTCTGGGCTTTCAGCCCTGTTGCTCTTGACCCTTCCTGCTCATCACCTGTAAACCCAGCTTGCCAGGTCCACAGCATCCTTTCTCTCCACTCCAGCTCTGCTTCTTCTCATCCCCTATCCTTCCCCCCATTCTGACCTGACATCCTGTCACTTGTCATTCCACTCCCTGCCCCAGGCTGTGAGCTCCAGTGGCATGGACTAGGCCTGCTTTCTTTTGTTCACTGATGTGTCCCCAACACTTGGCTAAATCCCTGTCTGGAATGGTTGGGTATGTGTGGTAGGCAGGGCTCACTGACCAGAGTGGGATAGAGTCAGAGGATGGCTTAGGGTTGGCAGGCAGAAGTGGGGACCCAGGACCTTTGGCTCTGCTGAGGAAACTCCACCACCACCCATTGTTTTCTCTGTGTAGAGGAGCAGGAGCGCCTTCGCTTGGAGCGGGAGCGGGAACAGGAGCAGAAGAAGGCCAGTAGCCTGGCCAGGCTGGCACATGCCCTGCCTGTGGAGGAACCCCGCATCGAGGCACCACCCCTCCCCCTATCCCCACCAGCACCCCCACCAGCACCCCCACCACCACTTGCTACCCCCACCCCATTGACTGTCATTCCTATTCCTGTAGTGACCAACTCCCCCCAGCCACTGCCCCCACCCCCACCGCTGCCTCCTGCAGCCCAGCCTCTGCCCCTGGTACCTCGTCAGCCAGCCCTGGTCAGCACCCCTGGACTCAGCATTAAGGAGCCTGCCCCACTTCCTACCAGGCCACAGGTGCCCACCCCTGCTCCCCTCCTGCCAGACCCGAAGACCACTATTGCACCCACTGGCAGCCCCAAGCCTTTGCAACCCCTCCCTACACCCATCCTGACCATAGCACCACACCCTGGAGTCCAGCCTCAGCTAGCCCCCCAACAGCCACCCCCACCTGCACTTGGGACCCTGAAGTTGGCACCAGCTGAAGAAGTCAAATCCAGTGAACAGAAGAAGAGGCCTGGGGGGTGAGTGAACTGTGGCAGACTTGGGGCTGGTGGGTTGGACAGGAGAACTGTCCACCCTATGGGCTGTGTAAGGTACCTTAACTGAAGGAGCCTTTCCAGGCATATCCTGTCTAACTTAGAAGCACCTCCTGTATTTGAACACATTATTGTACCTATCTGTATCCTGGAATGGATATATGGCCATTGCCCTCTTTTGTCCTCAGACTTCTGTGTCCTCTGACTCCCTCCAAGGTTAGGAGGCATTTCTAGGTCTTTTCACAGAATACTGAATTATGGGCTTCTTGGGTAGGGTCTGGCTCAACTGGCTGCTTCTCTGAGTCCTAGGAGCCCTTATGTCCCCTCAGTTGGACAGGTGGGATGAAGGGGTTACAAAGGTTGTGGGTTTGAAGCAGGCCAGAGATCTCCACCCAAAAGACCCTTGCCATAATTAAGCTGTTTCTCTTGTCAGATCAGCAGGATGAGCGTAGATGTGCCTTTCAGGAGGTGGACACAGCTCAGCACAGGGTGAACACCTTCCACTGCTGTTTTATACTTCCAGAGAGAATGTTGGGGACAAAAAAAACCGGTGTCATTTGGGGTTTGGCGGCGGGGATCAGGAAGGCAGCCTAATCAGGCCCTCCTCCCTGAGCCTCCTGTCTATCTGGGTTTCAGGATCGGAACCAGAGAAGTCCACAACAAATTGGAGAAAAACAGGTGTGTATGCGTGCGTGTGTGACTTTGGACCCACCCTGCCTGCCCCTGGACTCACCTATTTTCGGTGACTCAAAGCTCCCCTTGGGCCTTCCTTCTCTGCCCCCAGCCCCTGTTCTTCCCCCTCTGGTGCTGGCTGACCAGAGCTTGCTCCCTCTCCCCAGGAGGGCCCATCTGAAGGAATGCTTTGAGACCCTGAAGCGCAACATCCCTAACGTGGACGACAAGAAGACCTCGAATCTGAGCGTGCTGCGAACCGCGCTGCGGTACATCCAGGTATGGGGGAGGGAAGCAGGGCCGGGCGGTGCCGCGACGGCCGCAGCGCCAGCTTCCTCCCGGCTCCGCAGCCCTCCCTTCCTCCTTCGGCCCGGCCCCGCCCCGCTCTCCCGCGCTTGCGGGCTCCCCCGCCCGCCTCCACGCGGGCGCAGAGCACATGGCCCGGCTGACGTCAGCGGGGCTCCCAGCCCGGGAGGGGGCGGGCAGAAGGGCGCGCCTGCGCGGGAGGGCCAAAACGCTCCACTCCCCGGCCCGCCCCTCCCCCCTGCGGCGCGTCCGTGCAACCCCAGCGGCCCAGAGTTGATGAGATGCGCTCCGCAAACTCGCTCAGTGTCCCTGTGTCCACCCCTCGCTTTGTGCCAGTTAGCGCACCGTGGGTGAGGAGGACTCGGATCAGGCCCAGCGTCTCCCGGCTCGGAGCCCCTGGGCGGAAATCCGACTATCTTTAGTGGCGGGGGAAGGGAAGAGGGGGACACCTGGGCGTGGTCTCCGCCAACACTGCGTCGCTCCAGTGAAGCCCCCGCATTTTTCCACAAGATGAAGACCCTTTTGGTGTGCGCAATGATATCCCATGACCCGCATTTGGGAGTTAGAGAATGCGGCGGTTTTACTGGGTAGCCAACAGCCCCCGGGGTTTCAGAATCTTAAAAAATTAAGTCACGTTTTTATCCGTCTCCGTTGAGAAAAGGGTTTGTTGTTTTTTTTTCTCAGGGTGCCTTCCTGGCTATGTGTTCCCTCCCTTTGGGCCAGGACTCCGTTCTGCGGTAGTGGGGGGTGCTGCCAGATAAGACAGTTGCCATGACGGCCTGGAGTTTCGGTTTCCCTGGAAACCGGCGAGGGTTTCCGCGTGCTGAGGAAATCATGGGGGATGGGCCTGGCGGCCACGCTCGGCTGCCGCGCAGTCCAGGAGCCGTTGGGGGAATGGGAGGGACTTAAGACTCCCTGCTGCGCGGGACCTTGGGGTGGGGATGAGCTCCAGGGTCTCCCTGTCGGCCTATTTGGGAAGGTTTTGGAGGCTAGACGGCGTCAGAGCCCCAGTGGGAAGGGTGGCCAAGAGGGATTGGCGAGATGCCACAGCCCAACCTTGGTTTGGAGAGCCGGGTCACAGCCCTGAAGTAACTGGAGCTTGACTTGCTGGAGGTGGGGGCGGAGGCGCGGTTCGCCGCTGCGCCTGTTAGTCCCTCCAAGTCTCCGGCAAACGCGCGCCTTTCCGCCCGCCCTACCGGCAAGGGGAGGGACTGGCGCGCATCCAAGCCGCTTCCCGGCAGCTGGGAGCCAGATCACGGATTGGCTGGGTCGGCTTCGGGGCTGGGACTCCTAGGCGCGCCGAGGGAGGGTGCGGCAGGCTGGGAGTGACGCAGCAAAGCCAGTCCGCGTGGGTGCGCGCGTGCTCCAGAAGGGGCGGGGCCTTGCTTGTGGCCCGAGTGGCCTGGGAGCCTCCCGGCCCCCCCCCCCCCCCCCCAGCGCGCAGAGGCTATTAGAGGCAGAATAGCTTATTTCCGGGATATTTTTGCAGACTTCTGGCTTAGATATAATTTATTCGTTCTTAGCCATGTGATCTCAGCAAATCCTTGTAGACACGCAGTGACATTTCCTATGAATATCACTTTTTTTTCCTGCATGGCAGTTCTAAGTAGGTAAAAGTAATAGTGCCCCAGAGATATTAGGAGGATTGAGATTGTTCAGGCAAATAATTCGTGGTACTGTAAATTCAGTAGTTATTGAGAAATAACAAGGATAAAATGGCGAATTTCTCTATAGGTGCATACTTGGGGGGGGGGACCCAAATATGGATTTGAAAAAAATTCGGAAAGACTCAGTGGAGGCTGTAAAATAAAGCTAGTTAGTATCAGACTTGGGCTGAGTAGGAAGTGGGTGGTACCTCAGGCTTTCCATAAATGCTTGTCTGGGTGTTGTAATGGAGGCAGAAACAGCAGAAAACTCACAAGTTTGTGGAAACCCTCAAGGACACTCATTTATTTTTTCCTTCAAGTACTTTTAGCTAGGCCCTGAGCCTGCTTCTAAGGATGCAGTGGAGAGCCAAGAAGAAAGGGTGGGTTTCTGTCCTGGAAGGTTTGATCTTGTGGCAGATCGTAAACACATGAACACAGAACTGTGCCATGAGGATACAGTAGGGACAGGGTTGTCAGAATCTGGGAAGTTACAGAGGTCATCCCTGAAGAAAGGACCTGCAGGATAAGTTGGGGTGAATGTGGCAAAGTAGAGGACAAAGAACCCAGAACAGGCCACAGTTTCCCCAGCAGGAGGGAGGAGGATGCATTTTTGGAAGTGAAAGATGGTCAGGAGGGTTGTCCCGCAGAGACATGGACTGCAGGAAGTAGATGAGAGTGGAAAGTTGGTCCTGGAGGAATTAAAAGAGCCAAGTGGACGGAGTGCTCTGGTGACATGTGGAGAGCAGGAGGCTATAGGAAGGTGTAGTCCTTAACTGGTCCCCAGTGTTACTTGGAGGTGGTAAAGGATTTGGAGAAGACCATAGGCGTGGACACAGAAGGAAGAGGAGGAATGTGTGTCCAGGTAGTCACAGAAAGGAAGTGAGTTTACAACAAAGTGTTATGAGCTGGGGTGTAGTTCAGTGAGTAGAGCACAGCATGTGCGAGGCCCTGGATTCCATCCCAACACCACAGAAAACAAAAAATGAAGTAGTGTGGACTAACATTAGATCATGGGGAAACTTTGCAGGGACCTGTAGGCCTGTGGGGAACTGGACTAGATGAGAAGAGGTTTTGGCCCCTGACACTCTCTCTCCCTGACCCAGAAGTCTAGCCTCCCTGCAAGTGGGTAGAGTTCAGGATGACGCTTCCAGCCCCCAGCCACCAGGTTCAAGTGAGGGCTGAGTCACCAAGGGCCTGTCGATGTTGCCTCATCTGATGTCCTGTCCAGCCCTCAGGGGCAGAGCCAGGTGAGAAGCCACACATGGGTGTGTGTGTGTAGGGGGAGGGAAGGTGTTTTCCTGTTCTTTCTAGCAGATACATGGGGAGAGGAAGGTTTTACTCAGTGCCAGGATGATGGAGGGGGGGGTCTTTGTGATCAGGGACTGGGGTGTCAAGGCCAATATAGAGGATGGCTCTATCTGGGTATTTGTTGGAGGCACTAGTGGTTTGAGGCATTTCTCACTGTTGAGGTAGAAGTTTGGGGCTGCAGGAGGAGTGTGGGGAAGTTGGGTCTAGCAGGTGGGTGGGATTGAAGGCATTGCTATGCCAAGTCAGGAAAAAGATTCTGCGAAACTGCAGAACTGCCTCAAGGGAATGCAAGCAAGGGAGGCTTGAGACTGCTGTACTCCTGTGATTCTCCCTGCCATAAAGGGGAGAGAAAGAACAGAGGTGGGAACTGAAGTGCTCACTGGAAAGCAGGGCAGCAGGCTCACAGATCCTTCCCTGGGGCTGAGAATACACCCTTTGTAACTTCCTGGTCACTGGTAGGGTCAGAACCGTTCTTACCTTCACTTGACGTGTGTGTAGAGGTGGAAAGACAAAACATAAGCGCATGAAATATTGGGTAGTCTTACAAGCCAGTGTCTGACTCAAAGTCCCATCTGACAAGTCTCCCAATTAACGTTCAGCTGTGTGTTATAGGTGCTGAGAAGGGCTCTGAGGCAGGGGATGTCAGGTGAGGCCTTGGGCTGGGGAAGAACAGTGGAGGAGGTGGGGACTCAGGTGTAGTCTTGGAGCAGAATAAGACTGGGGATTGGAAGGTTCAGACTAAGACAAGCTGTTCAGTTTGGTTTGTGCGCTCCGTACCTGGATGTGACTGGCAAACCTCGGAAGCTAGGTGCTCAGGAACAGATGGAGAAAGGGACTCAGGAGGCAGCATGGAAAGGAGCATCTATCTGCCTTGTCTGGTGGACACAGTGGTCATGACATGCGTAGGTAAGCAGAGGCTGCTAACAAGGAAGCCTGAGAGACAGAAGAATTGAGTTAATGAAGTGTTAAGAATCATGGATGCTCAGGGAAGACTGACGTAGACAGGAGCTGAGAAGGATATGAGCTGTCCTTTTGGAGATGCTAATAAGCCTGTGCACAGGGAAACTGGAGATGCTTATGATAGGGGAGTGATGCCTAGTGTGAAAGGTCAGCACCTGAGAGTTAGGAGGTCATCAGGACCTGGAGGAAAGGGAGATGGTGCCATGGATAAGGGAACCCCTCAGGAAAGTGGGTAACACATCAGCATGGTGGGGAAGGACTGACCTGGAACCTGTGGAGAAGAACAGAAGCTTCTGTAGGGGTGCTTAGCAGAGTCAGGGGCTGCTATCAAGTTCCCCGGGAGCATTTCTTGTCAGCCATGGGGCACATTTCAGGACTTGGGGTTCCAGCAGCCTGTGGAGTCTGGAGAGCTATAGGCAGGGTACTGGGTGGGGACAGAGTGTAACAGCCTTGTCTTGAGGCAGCACAGGTGGGCACTGTGAGGAGTAGCTAGGAGGTCAGAAGGGAGATGTAGATCCCAAAACTGCTCAGGAGGAGATGGAGGCAGGTCATAGGGAGGGGATGCTGTCACAAAATAAGTGGGTCTTATTCCAAGGATATCAAATTTACCAAGGGGATGAGTGAATGATGGGGTGGAGAGAATTTCAGGATTGTTTGGGGTCTTTGAAAATGGGTTGTAAGGAGGGTAGCTTGTGGCATCAGTGACTGAGCAGAGTGGGACAAATGGTGATGGGGGCCTTGGGTGTGACCCTGGAAGTAGAAAGGCTGCAAGGAGGGGAAATGGGGCAAGAGGCAGTGAAGCCCCTCAGGGCCGAGTCAAGTGGAGGGTGAGGAAGGGCCCCCCGCTGCTTGGGTGAGAGCTGTCGGACCTGTGCTCACTTCACTTCACTAGCACCTGCCCAAGAGCCCTCTGCCTGGGATGCTGGGCCTTGTTGGACAGAGCCGCGGAGTAGGAGTCAGGCATGGTCTCCAACAACTTCGATCTTCCTGGGCTCCCTGGTCATTGCAGACTTGTTCCTGTTGGCCAGTTGATGTGGAGAGAGGTTTTAAGATACCATAAGCCCCATGGCTACTGCTCAGGGTTCCCTGCTGTCCCTTGCCCTGTCCCTCAGTCCCTGAAGAGGAAGGAAAAGGAGTATGAACACGAGATGGAGCGACTGGCACGGGAAAAGATTGCCACGCAACAGCGACTGGCAGAACTCAAGCACGAGCTGAGCCAGTGGATGGATGTGCTGGAGATCGACCGTGTGCTCCGGCAGACAGGCCAGCCTGAGGACGACCAGGCCTCCACATCAACAGCCTCTGGTGAGCCCTGGCCCCTGCACTGTTCCCACCATGCTCAAATGTTGTCCCCAGCTCCCCTGGCCAAATTTTGGCCTGGTAGAAAAGATGCCCCCTGCCCTAGCCTTGTTATTTCCCCAAACTCCCTTGGGTGTTAATACCTCCTACCACTTGTTTCCCACACTGTTCTGACATGCTCCCTGCCCTCTTCCCCACAGAGGGTGAGGACAACATAGACGAGGATATGGAGGAGGACCGGGCAGGCCTGGGCCCACCTAAAATGAGCCATCGTCCCCAGCCGGAGCTGCTGAAGTCCACCCCCCCCCCCCCCCGCACTGCCTCCGCGCCTCTGCCTCCCCACCCTCACCCTCACCCCCACCCCCATCCAGTGGCCCTGTCTCCTGCCCACCTCCCTGTGCAGCAGCAGCCGCCACAACAGAAGACCCCTCTGCCTGCCCCTCCTCCCCCACCGGCCACCCCTGCCCAGACACTGGTACCAGCCCCAGCCCATCTGGTGGCCACTGCTGGGGGCGGCTCCACGGTCATTGCCCACACGGCTACCACCCATGCCTCAGTCATCCAGACTGTGAACCATGTTCTACAGGGGCCGGGCGGCAAGCACATTGCCCACATTGCCCCCTCTGCCCCCAGCCCTGCTGTGCAGCTGGCACCTGCCACACCTCCCATTGGCCACATCACAGTGCACCCTGCCACCCTCAACCATGTGGCCCACCTCGGCTCCCAGCTGCCCTTGTACCCACAGCCTGTGGCAGTGAGCCAGCCAGTGGCAGTGAGCCACATCGCCCACACCCTCTCGCACCAGCAAGTGAATGGCACAGCCGGACTGGGGCCCCCAGCTACAGTCATGGCAAAGCCAGCCGTGGGGGCCCAGGTGGTACACCACCCCCAGCTGGTGGGCCAGACAGTGCTCAACCCTGTGACCATGGTCACCATGCCCTCCTTCCCGGTCAGCACACTAAAGCTGGCTTAAGGATGAGGCCACTCAGGCCCCCCAGTGGGGGCAGGGGGGGGACATGTCCCCCACTCTCCCACCCACCAGCTCCACACATTCCAGCCAGGCCCACCACACCCACACACCCCCAGGCCTCCTAGGGGAAGGGGGTGCAAAGACTCTGAGCCAAGGAAGGGAGGGCCCCCCATGGAGTTGGGTACAGGGCAGGGAGTTACCCCACTGCATTGGGACTTGATGACTGATGAGGACATGCTAGTGGATGTGACGCCCATTGGGCCTAGTGCCAGTTCCATTGCCACTCCTGCTGTCCCCCAAGATGAGCACGATGTGACATCGTGTTTTCTGGCTTCTCCCTACCCTGCCCACTTTGTACTGCTGCTGCTATTGCTCTCTCTGGTGGGGTGGCTGAGCACCTGGGCCCTCACTCCCAGCCTCAGTGTTTTCCTCCCAGGCCTTTAGAGGGAAATGGGGAAGCAGGACTGAAGCCACTTGGCCCAGAAAGCTGGGGACAGGTGGTGAGGGGTCCTATTCTGAGTATAGGTGTCAGATCCTAGGCAGTGGCTGGTCTGGAATTGTGCCTGAACATGTGGGTGCCCTGGCCTGGAGCTCTTTGATGTGGTTGGGGTCACTATGATTTGTTACAGTAGAAACTATTTAAAACGATTTTCTACCAACAATAAACAAAACCCAAGCTGTTGCCAAGCTTTTCAACCCCTGCCACTGGGCTCTTAGCCTCTGGAGGACAGGCTGAGGTTTGGCTGGAGAAGGTGGGGCTTCTCTTTCCTGCTGTCTTCCCTTATCCTTGCAGCCTCCCAGGCCTGGCCTGAGAGGAGAGCTACTCTGGCCCTGTATCCCCATCCTTGGTTTGACCTTTGACTTCAGAAAGCAGCCCAAGGTACTGTCTACCATTCACTCCTGGCCCTTTAATTTCTGCTCTGTGGGGCACTTTCCCAGGGGATGGGGGTGCCTGGGCACCTGTGGATTTGGGGCCTCCTCCTCCAGCTTGGGAGACATGAACCAGCAGCTGGTCTTGGTTCTAGGAGCTTAGAAGCCACAGTGTTGAGGCATTAGGAAGTTCAAATCCAGGGGCATGGCCAAAACCCTGAACCTTGCCCCAAACAGGCCCTGGGGACTTAAACATTAGAGAAGGTAACCAGGCCAGAGCCAAGGGTTATTGACTCCTCGGGAGCTGCTGCTTTTGCTCCATCGTATTTGTGTTCCCTCTTACCCCTTTCTAATGGGTGGTTTTGAGGGTCTCCTGCAACGCACCACCACCTTCCTCTGAGGAAAGGGCCTTAGTTGAGTCAAGAGGAGGACTGAGCCTGGGGCAGGGTGAAGCAAAGAGTTCTGTGCTAGGGGTTGCCAAGTTCCCTATCTCTACCAACTGCTTTGGCTTCTTTTTATGTGGATATTTATTATTATAAGTGGCCTTGTGTCAGACACACTCAGTTACATGCACGTGTGCACATTCAGCTCCCCACTGGACACTCACTGATGGCCTTTTGGTTGATGGGGGGAGGGGGGAAGAAGTGAGTGTCCCTAGGTGTGAAGTTTGCATTGATGGGGTGCTGGGCAGGCAGGAGAACCAGGAAGGGAGAGCTTAGGACCCTTGGAAGTGCCCTGCCTGCTGGCACTGAGGCGGCCAGCAAAGGTCTTGAATAGATTCTCCCTGGAAATAAAGACTTCTTAGATGCTCTAAGAATCCTTCCAGTTCCTTCGTGGTCCTAGAGCCCTCCCAGGGGACTTTCCTTATTTTCATTTGACTCCTGGGGTGGGGAAGGTGGATGGCCTAGGACCAGGTCCCCACTGGGACCTGTGGGAGGACTGTGGTACTCATCCTACCCAAACTCAGCAATCCTGCCCCACAGGCTGGCTTCCCCCCTGCCCCTGAAGCCACCTCCATTCTGACACCCTAGCTCCAGGGGGGCAGCTTTACTGTTATTGTGACAGTGGGAAGAACAGGTTGGTGCCTGCACATTCAGAGCACTTTGGTGACACCCCCACCCTCACCCATCCCCATGCTCACCTCTCCCAACGTCCTGAGGCCAGTTCCAGAGTTCAAACTTGTGTTGGCCAGTTGCCCTTGGGCCTGCACAAATACCTCATCATCTACCTGCCCTTCCCCAACCCCCCAGCAGTGGGGGCCTCCAAATCTAGTGCCGAATGACTATGTCCAGATTGGTGACAATGGGTGTTGTTGCTGTTGTTTTGTTGTTTGTGAACGCTGTGATGCCGTGTGCCCAAGTGGACAGCCACCTCCCAGCCCTTCCTTGGGCATCTCCCTTCAGAACTGTTAGGACCACATCTGTCCTCACCCTGTGGGACCGCCTGGCCCTTCCCTCCCTAGCCCTTCCAGCCTGGGACACACACATACACACACATCTTACCTCTCATGCGTGTTTTACCTTTTGATGATGTTCAGAGTGGCTCACTGGCTGGGAGTCTTTACCTCGGGGAGAGGGGGAGGATGGTTCCTTGGGGGGCCAAAGAAAGGCAGCAAATGCCTGGAGGGTAGTTGGGTCCCCATAACCCCTGCTCTCTGGGAACAACTGCTTCTCCCCCCCATCCCAGGGTCCCACCCCCAAACCCCAAAGAGGTGGCCCTTGTTTACAGTGAGGACTCGGTCACTGTGTCTCCGTTTCCTGAAATATAAACTGTAGCGACCCCAGACTGTAGAGATTTTTATGTGTTTGGATACATCTGCTGTGTGGGAAAAAACAAAAAACTACAAAAACCCTAATTTTGTACATATTGTATTTTTACTATTGAATTGTATTCTAGTGGCTGTTCATGCTCCAAGACTTTAGGTATTGAGACATGAATACTATCCATGTAATAAGCACTTGCCTGGAGTAAAACATAAAACTGAAATAAACCTGCACTGAAACCTGAGATTGGAGCTGCCAACTTGCAGCATCTGGGTCATTTTATTGCAAAAGGAAATGGGCCTGTGGGGAAAGAGATCCAGCAAGGACCTTACCCTGGGATATTTGGGGGACACAAATGGACAATATTAGAGAAAGAATTGGGATCTCTCCATTCTGATCCCTGTGCTCTGAGCTCCAAGGCTGTAGTTCTGGTCTTACTAATATTTTTGCAAAGCTTTATACTTCCTTACATCATTTTTGCAAACATTATCTTGTTTCATCTTCTAACAACCCAGTAGAGTAAATAAGCCAAGAGCTAGCCCATTTGGGCAGATAAGGAAACAGGTTTGAGGTGGCTGAGTGACTTTTTGAGGTCACACAGTTGTCTGGGACATTGTGGGAGCTACAGGCAGGGCCTGCCAGGGGATTACTAGGAAGGCAGAGAGGACTGCCCTGGGATCTGGGTGCATAGGCTTTGGGGTTGTAGTCATGACAACTCCTCTGGGGAATCCATAAAGCTGTCCTTTCAGGGAAGGATATAGGCAGGGGAAGAGGTTGGACATTGGGGCCAAGGGGGTCCTGTACCCAGTTGTCCTAGAAAACCAAAGTCCCTATAGCTACATCTTTTCTCCCCAGCTCGCCATTTGGCAGGCTGACAGTAGCAAGTGGTGGTAGTGACTTGAGGTCAGGGAGCAGTCAGTTGGGCCTGGGTGTATACCAGGCCCCTTTTTCCAGTGCCAGCAGGGGGAACTGACTGCTGCTCTTCTGGGATGGGTGTGGTGGAGGGTTTACCCTTATGGGGGCCACAAATGTGTAGAAGTCCTGCTCTCTGAAGGAAAAGGGCCAATATCAAGAAAAGCCTCCATCATGGTAAGGTGGCACATGCCTGTAATTCCAGCAACTCAGGAATCTGAGGTAGGAGATGACAAGTTCAAGGCCAACCTCAGCAATTCAGAGATATCCGCAATAACTTAGTGAAACCCTGTCTGAAAATTAAAATAAAAAAAAAAACTAGGAATGTAGCTCAGTGGCAAAGTGCTCCTGAGATTGGTCCCCAGTACCAAGAAACCCAGTCCCCATCACCACAAACATGTCAGCCTTTTTCACTTGTGAGATGTGGGCTCCCTCTGCTGGTAGCTTGAGGAAGAGTTGGGTCACAGTCATTGGCCAACCAAGTGCTACTTCTGGGAGGGACTTGGGTAAGGATTAACCTTCATGAGTGCTCACTCAGTCCTGGCACTGACTGGGAACACAAAGACTCTGTCCTGGAAATGATGACCTAGGATCATCTGAGGGCGGAAACAGGCAGCAGTTCCCAGCCCTCCTGTACTCAGAAAATAGCAGGAGCCTGCAGAGACAGGCCTGTGGTCAGGGTAATTAATGGACAATGAAAAAATATTATGAATCCAGTTGTTTCATTTACAAGCTCTTGCTCTGTAGGAGAGGAGGACTCACTTTCTGAGGAATGTCCCATGATGGTGTTTTTAGAGCCCACTGTGCTTCAGACATTTATTTACTTATTGTATTTAACCCAGTGGCATGTTACGTCCCTAGCCCTTTTAGTTTTTATTTTGAGAAAAGGACTCACCAAGTTGCTCAGGACCTTGCTAAATTGCTAAGGCTGGCCTTGAACTTGCCATCACCCTGCCTCAGAGTCGCAGAGATTACAGGTGTGAGACACCATGCCCAGAAGAACTATCATTTTGCTTGTAATTCCTTCTAGTGCCAGAAGCCCAGCCAGCAGTCTGGGTGAAAGGAGTAGGCAAGATGGGAGGAAAGGAGCCAAGCCACTCCCAGGCTACTTTACTCAGTCTTTTGGTGGATTCATTTCAAGTGGTCACAGCAGAAAGAATTATGATTCCAGGGGCTGGGGATGTGGCTCAAGCGGTAGTGTGCTCGCCTGGCATGCATAGGGCCAAGGTTCGATCCTCAGCACCACATACAAACAAAGATGTTGTGTCCACTGAAAACTAAAGAATAAATTAAAAATTAAAAAAAAAAAAAAAAAGAATTCTGATTCCAGACTATGGAGCTAGCTGGGGGTGGGGAGTGTTTCCCTGAGGAGCTTATCAAGTCCCCTGACCCCAGAAATGCCCATGTCAACTGTTTTTGTGGTACTGGGTATTGAACCCAGGGATGTCCTACCACTGACAGACATCCTCGGTTCTTTTTATTTATTTATTTTTAATGCTTATTTTTTGTAGTTGTAGATGGCCAGAATGCCTTTATTTTATTTATTTTATTTTTATATGGTGCCGAGGATCGAACCTAGTGCCTCACACATGTTAGGCAAGTGCTCTGCCACTGGGCTACAGCCCCAACCCGTTCTTTTTATTTTGAGAGAGGGTCTTACTAAATTGCTGAGGCTATCCTCAAACTTATGATATTCCTACCTCAGCCTCCTGAGTCCCTGGAATTACAGGTGTGCGCCACCACACCTGGCTCTGTGTCAACTGGTTTCTTTTTCTGGGCATCTCTGGCATGTTTTCTAATAGCTGGGACCAGCCTGCTAGAGTCATGGGCTGGGATATTTAGCTGAATGAGTTAGCAACAGGCCCTAAAAACCATCAAGCCAGTGTCCTCTATACCTAGAAAACACAATAAGTGACTTGAACCCTCTGCCTGGCACCACTTGATGATGTGACCCACAGTACTCTGGGTTAGGGGAAGGGCAGGAGAAGAGGTGACCTGTAATTATAGCCAGGACCTGTTAATACAGCCAGGCCCTTTCTGTATCTCAGTAGGATCTGGGCCCTCCTGCCACTCCCTCCAGGGCCCATCCTGACCCAGGTATCTCAAAGTGTCACAAGGGCAGGAGGGAGGGACTAGGATGCTCTTGTGATTCCCAGTCGGCTCCAGCTCCTCAGTGTAGCATGTCAGGAGGGCAGGCAGCTGGGGGCAAGGGGTTGGAGAGGTCACTGGTCAACCTGAGATGGGACCGTGACTCTGAAGTGAGGCCCTCCAGCTAGCCAAGTACTTAGGTCTGACCATTACCTCCAACTTCCTGACCAGCTCATGCAGCAGTGGCCCCCTTTACTTTTTCAATCATAGAGCATACAGAATTCCCAATGCATCATTAGTGTCTGGTGTCAGTCCCACAGGCAGTCCTCAGAGCCTCAAGTGTTGCCAAATGCTGTATTTATTGGTTGGTTACACTGAAGAGTATAGTTTCTGAGCCAAAAACATATATACTCCGCTCTCCACAAAACCACTGAGTCACTAAGGCAGGCACACAATGGCCACCATGCTTGGTGGAGGCCAAGGACTCACAGACGGGTGGGCAACGGGGTGGGCTGGCCCCCAAACAGGCCGTGCAGTGCCCAGGACAGGGGTGGGCTGGGAAGGCTGGGCTGGTTGCGGAATAGCTGCTGGGCTTTCTCATGATTCCCAAATGTGGGATGTCTGCATACCTTGGTGACTTTTGGGTAGGCCCCAAACCCAGATATGTCCTCCAGGACAAGGCCTAGCATGAGCTGAGTGGAAGGGGCTGTGGGGTTGACAGAGCAAGCAGCATGCCTAAGTCTCAGGTCAGGAGCCACACCCTTCCTGGCACCCCTGCAAGTGCAGCTCCTCTCAGGGACTTCTGGGTCCCTAGGCCTCTCAGCATCCTGAGAAGCCTGTGGAAATCAGAGTGGGCCTTGCTTTTCACCAAGCATCCCCCACATCCCTTAGCCCCAGGGACAGGCAGATTCCTGGGACAGGCAACAAGCTGCTCCTAAGCTCAGGACTGTCCCTGAGAAGAAGCTGTGACAGGACTGCCTCTGTATAAAATCACCTGGGGTTCCTCTGGAGAGCTAGTGATCCAGCTGTGCTCCAGATCATCCAACTAACAAGAATGTTACTTCCACATTTTCAGGGATATATCTAATACATAAAGAAAGGACAGGGAGGTAAGAGTGACACTGTACAGACACACATAGGTGACCTGTACAGTAGGGAGAGCACTTGAGTTCACCTCAGGTGGCCAGAAGTGGTGGCAGTGCTGCTAAGGTGGGTTTCTCCCACCCAGGACCCACATCTGACTGCCCCAGAATCTTAGGAGAGGGCCTGGAAGGCAGCTTAGGTCTCTTGTCTCCAGGACACATGCCCTAAAAGGCAGCTGTTCTAGCTGCCCCAACTGGGACTGCAAAGGGGCTATCAGGAGAGAGAACACACAGAGTCCCATTGTCCCCTGCAACTCTTGACAGGAGGGGCCCAGGCCACTATATAGTCCCTGCTAGCTCTAGAGGGCCCCAGGTTGATTCAAGAGAGGCATTGGGGGACAGTCCAGGCTGAGGCTGCAGGTGGCAGTGGAGCTATTCCTGGTTGTTTAAGAGGAGAACAGAGTAGGTGTGCCCCAAGGCAGCTGCTCTGTGAGGCCAACCCCTCCCATCTCATCCCTGATCTGAGGGTAGCCTGGCGCTGACTAGCCCTGCAGAGCCACACAGCCTGGAGTCGGATCCAGGCTCACAATCACTTTGTTAGGAACACAGCTGTGCAGGCAGGGACAGCTGGGGGTTGGAGCAATCGGCTGTAATGCCCCTGCACCTCTCCCTGCTGGAGCCCGGGGGCCTGGTGCCCAGGCTCTCCATGCAGCCCCTGGCTACAGCCCTCATTTGTTCTCTATGAGCATCTGCACCTTGTGGACGAGGTCCCGGGCAATCCGCAGGATCTCCTGGGCATCATGATGCTCAGCCCGCTCTAGGGGAAACATAGATAATTGTGGGGAGCCCTGGAGAGGAGGTATAGGCTGGGAAGAGCCCTGTGGTGGAATACCCTTTCCACCTGCTGGGCTCTTGACTTCCTGCCTATGGGGAAAGGACCCTGGTATTCTTGAGAACCCTCCAACTTTGCCCAGGACAGGAGTGGAGGCCCCCACGCCCCTGCTGCGGTTAGCCAGGATGACTGGGCCAGTTCATACCATTGAAGAACTTGATGATGTCAGTGAAGTCCATGTTGTTGTCACGGATGATCTCTCGGTAGGCCTCCACCAGGGCCAGGGCGATGAACAGCACAAAATGCTCGGATGAGATGTGCCTGGCTGCCCAGATCACCTCCCACACAGCAAACACATCCTCATACAGCAGCTCTAGGAACAGAAAAGGGCTGGTGCTCATCAGGCATAGGGCTGGGGCTAAGGCAAAGCCTGACTGCCCACAGGCCCCTAGATGGAGCCAGGTGGGAGTCAGAGCTCCACAGCCAAAGTCCTGGGATTCTCTGCAATACACACTACAGGGTTCAAGAATGGCCCAAGGCACACTGGGCTCCTGCAGACTCCACATCAGCACTTCATTTCAGGGCAACTTTACCTTTGATGCTTAGGAAGGTTTGGTTTGAAAAAAAGCTCTGAAAACCATCACCTTTTAGGAGGGTGACTGTAAACCCCGACTATGTTGTAGAATCACTTTGTGCACTTATAAAATCATATATGCTGAGCTGGAGTGTGGCTCAGCAGAGGAAAGCCTGCTTGGCATGCACAAGGCCTTGGGTGATCCCCAGAGACAAAACCAAAACCCACACATACCCAGCCAGCCTCAATAGTCAGGAGTGGAGGGGCCCTGGTAGTTTCTCAAAGCTCCCCATGTGGTGCCAAAGTAGAGTTAGAAGACCATTGACTTGGGGAAGATCAATCTCCCACTGCCCCTGACTCCAGCCCAATGATCCAACCCGCTTCTTACCTCTCTTAAAATCCAGCAGGAACCAGCGGTAACAGAAGTAGAAGTGGGTGTAGTCTCCATTCTGATGCATCAGCTCAAACAGCTCAGAGTCCAGGATCTCATAGGAGAAGAGGGAGACTGATCCCATGCTGTCTCTCTGCTATACCTACCCAGGGAGGCCTGGGCTCCCAGCCCCAGTCTTCAGCCTCTCTGTTGTGCTGTGCCAGCCCATCCTCACCCTCTTCCCCTGAGGTCTCCTTAGTGGGGGTTGCCCCACTGTCTTCTCTGGGCTGTATTATTTTGGGATTATAGTGTCTGGGTGTTTGATTTTACCATCAACCATACTACTCACCAGAACTTACAAGCATGCACACACCTTGAGTCCTCCCCAGTTTGTAATATGGACAACAATGGTTTTGAAAACAAAAGAAGTTAAGCTTCTATCTAAAAAACATTTTTGCAATGCTTCTGATTTCCCTTTGGCTGACAGACTAGCCCAGCACTGCCTAGTCACAGGCCCACGGGTGGCTACAGACCTCACCTGGATGAGGGAGCGCATGTTGGCAAAATGAGTGTCCATGGCGCCCCCATTGGGGAAGTTCAGGCTCATCCTCCTCATGAGGTGACTGAAGCAGCTGTAGGCCAGCTGATCTGAGGAGAGATGTGGAGGCAGCAGGGCAGTACACCCAGAAAACATGCAGGATGACATTCCCCCCCTCCCAGATCTAGCCATCTTTTCCTTTCTCCAGTTTGTTAGCCCAAACCCAACTTCATTTGGAGGACTCACATACCCCATTTCTCACCATTGTCAAGGATAACCAGGAGAGGTGCCAGCAGATCACACATGCCCTGCACATAGCCCACGTCCAGGTGCTCCCACACATAGCTGAAATGCCAGGGGTGATCACTGTGGCTGTGCCCCATCCTTCCCTCCCTTGTGGGGTCCCTAGGGAGTTGGCCCCTAGACCAGCCATAAGACAGACTTTCCATGACTGTGAATCACTTTCTGTGTGGGAGACAGTGGGGAACTGCCCTTGGCCCCTGTTCCTGAGGTACTTAGGAAAAGAGACAAAAAGCCATCACAACTTGGCATGTGTGGCAGGGGAACAAAGACAGGTAAAGCTTCCTGAAGAAGTATGGCCAAAGTAGGGATCTCAAGGACCTCTGGGAATGCAGAGGGGTAGGGTAAGGGGCATTGCAGGGAGTGTTCCAAATAGAGGGCCCAGTGTGACCCCAGTGCAGATCAGGAGAGGAGAAATACTCAGCACAACTGGAGGTCCCCACCCCACTGCCCTGTCCCATAATGGCACCTGCACATGATGTCTCTGAGCCGCTCGAGGTTGGGGGTTGTGAAATACCAGTAGTTCCGGTCACATCTCTGCACGTCCTTGTCTATGCGGTGTAGATTTAAGGCCACGGTGTCCAATAATTCTATCTGGAAGAGTAGTCAGCTCTCAAGGTTGAGGCTGACCAGTCCCTCCCAGGTTGGGGATACAATATGGTGCCCAAAGAAATGCAGTCAAACAGGGAACCCAGGGAGCTCTGAGAATAGAGTCCCTAGGGATGCACTGAGTTGGGCTCAATGCTCCCTTCCAGACAGTTATGGCACCCTGCCCTCCACCCTGCAACCTGTCCTCAAGTGTTGGGGTGCTGGGAGGGCCCGAGGTCAGCTGAGAATGATGCCCAAAGAACATTCACGTACAGTGTAGGCCGCAGCACACACAGCTGTGAGCTCTCCGGCTGCCTCCAGCTCACTGGCCTGTGAAACCTTTTCTTGGCTGGGATCCTGAGGCTCAGAGAAAGTGTGGCCTGTAGGTGCTGGCCCATCAGAGCCTTCTTCTCCACCACCGTCCTCTTCAAAGCCCACACTCTGGCCCTCATCTAGGCTGGACTGGATGCCTGATGCCACAGAGTAATTGCGGGAGGACGGCAGCCCTGAGTCGGGAGAATCAAACTCCACTGACTGCTGCTGCTCCACCATGGCTGTGCCTGGAGTCCCAACTCCTGGCTCCTGCTCAGGCTTTGGTCTGGAATCTTCGGGGCACTGAGGCCCTGGGGGCTCCAGATCATCCACAGAGATAAACACCTGGTGGAAGTGAAGATGGTGGCTCCTACCTGCACTCCAGGACCTTCCCATAGATCCTGCCTCTGGATGGAGCCCACATGGAGAATTCTCTTCATACCCCTACTTCTACCCACAGCCCTCAACATTGCTACCCTGGCTACGGAGTGGCTTCTGGCCCAGATAACCAGGTAGAAGAAATAAGGGTCTGAACAAAGGAAGTCACCGTCTTCAGCCCTCTCCAGCCCCTGCACACGTGAATGCTCTAGGCCTTCCTGCAGCTGTTGCAGGGAAGACATGGGAGCAGAGGCCTGGATGCTCAACGGTCAACTGGAGTTAAGTGACATTCAACAAATGCCTGAGCCTGACATGGTGGTGCACGCCTGTAATCCCAGTGGTTCGGAAGCTGAGATAGGAGGATCATGAGTTCAAAACCAGCCTCAGCAAAAGCAAGGCACTAAGCAACTCAATGAGATCCTATCTCTAAATAAAATACAAAATAGGGTTGGGGATGTGGCTCAGTGGTTGAGTGCCCCTGAGTTCAGCCCCAGTACCCTCTCTCCCCCCGCAAAAAAATGCCTAAAGGCAGGAGCCCAGGAGAGCTGTTCCAGTGTCTTGGTATAGCTGCTGTGGGGAGGGCAGGCTGGAGGTTTGAGGTAAAGCAAGTTCTTTCTTATTTTCAGTACTCAATACTTAGCAGGAAAAGAGAAAACTTCTGTAGCAGGTATCTACTCAGTTATGTTGGCCTTCAGATAAGCTTCAGAGAGCTAAGAAGTAGAAGGAAACATGTTCTACTGCCTGGAAACAGTACGCCACCTGGCTGGGTCACAGGGAAATAAGAGACAAATAGGCTGTTTTTGTTTTTTCTCTGTTGGGAAAGGGATGCTAAAAGTAGTTTTCACTCTAGGTAAGAAGTCTGAAGTATCAGATAATATCACAATTCTAAGACAATTAAGAACTCCAGAATATTGCCAGCAAGGAAGGGTAATAATACTTCTGTAAGTGAGGCAACTGTACCTCAGCTGTACAGGCTAAGGTTTTTAGGAAAAACCAAAGCCACAGAGACAGAGAAAATATATTCATAAATAGGGAAATAGGAATGAAGTATATGGAAAACAGAGTGTATCTTATTAGTTTTCTTCCTTTCTTTCACTGGGGATTGAACCCAGGGCACTTTACCAGTCTTTTTAATTTCCTTTTTTTTTTTACTAGGGATTGAACCCAGGTTTGCTTAACCACTGAGCCTTTTTTTTTAGTTGTATGTGGACTCAATGCCTTTGTTTTTATGTGGTTCTAGGATCAAACCCAGTGCCTCATACTTGCGAGGCAAATGTTCTACCACTGAGCTACAACTCCAGGCACCACCCCCAGCCCTTTTTTTATATTCTCCTAGAGACAGGGTCTTGCTGACTTGTTAAGTGCCTCTCTAATTTGCTGAGACTAGCTTTGAATTCGCATTTCTCCTGCCTCAGCCTCTGGAGCCACTGGGATTACAGGTGTGCACCATGGTGCCCAGCTATTTTTTTCTCTCTCTCCTTTTTTTTTTTTTAAAAAAAAAAAAAACACTTACTTTTATTTTATTTATTTATTTTTATGTGGTGCTGAGGATCGAACCCAATGACTCATGGGTGCTGGGCAAGCACTTTACCCCTGAGCTACAACCCCAGTCAGCGCCCAGCTATTTTTAATCTTGAGACAGTGTCTAGCTAAATTGCTGAGACTGACCTTGAATTTGCCATCCTCCTGCCATGGGCTCCCAAGCTGCTGGGATTATAGACATGTGCCACTGTGCCCTGCTAGTTATATGTACGTACTGCTCCAGTTTATATTGTCTGTAAGGGCCCCAGGTGTGCTGGTACACACCAGTAATCCCAGCAACTCAGGAGGCTGAGACAGGAGGATTGCAAGTTCGTGACCAGCCTTAGCAATTAGGTGAGGCGCTAAGCAACTTAGTGAGACTCTGTCTCAATAAATAAATAAATTAATTAATTAATTAAAAACATAAAAAGAGTAGGGCTGGGGATATAGCTCAGTTGATAGAGTGCTTGCCTTTCATGCATAAGGCCCTAGGTTCAATCCCCAGCACCACAAAAAAATAAAAAATAAAATAAAAAGAGCTGGGGATGTAGCTCAGTGATAAAGCACCCCTCTGGGTGCAATCCCCAGTACCAAAATAATAATAATAATAATAATAATTTATTTAGTAAAGAGGCAATTTTAAAGAAAAAACAAGTTAATAAAAGTGTCTTTGAAAGAGAAATTTATCAGCTTTGGTTGGGCCAAGCAGCTATTGTTCCATTGTCTTTTTCTTTCTCTTTCTCACGCTGTGTGTGTGTGTGTGTGTGTGTGTGTGTGTTTTTGCTGGTACCCAGGGACTCACGTATGCTAGGCAAGTGATCTATCACGGAGCAATAACCCCAGACTCATGACCCTAGTTTAGAACTTGCTTTTCTAAAGGAAGAATTACCACCAGTGCTCTGAACTAGCTCTGCATGGGCAATTCTACAAGACAAAACATCACAGGGAAGGGAAGATCTTGTCAGTGGATACCAGTGGGATTGCTCTAAGTGCTCCCCTGTCTTCTGGCCAGCAACTCTGGGTGAAACCTCTGCAGTCAGAAGCATTACGAGCACAGTGGAGGAATGGAGACCAGAGATGGGAAGTTCTTGCCTGGACACTCTGCTGTCATGAGGAGTGGATCCAGACCTGGAACCCAGGGGTACCTGTTGCTAGGCTTGAGTTCTTTCAACAAGGAGGGAAAGCTTCTTCCCTAAATCCCAACAAACCCATCTTTCCACAACACAAAAGTTCATCTCATTTTATCCTCATGGCACTCAGCATCCAGAGAAGTTGGCAGCGGAGTGGCAGTTAACCCTTTTCTCAGTCAAAGAAAACAAGACACAGACATATTAAACCTTCTTCCTAGGGCTCTGCTGCCAGGATTAGAAGCTGTGCTGGTGCTCAGGACTCCTGAGTATCAAATGCTGATGCCGCCCACCCCCCCCACCCCACCCCCCTGCCCCCGCCATCCGGCTCACGTCGTTGCTGATGGTGGAGTCTCGGTGGATGAGGCGCTGCACGTGGCTGTCGATGCTGCTGCCTGAGGAGAACTTGGTGAGCGTGGCTGGGTGAGCTTCCCGCTCCCGCTGCCTCACCACCACCTCACAGGCCTTCCATTCCGCCAACACCTGCTGGTACCTTGCTGCCACCGCTGTGTCTACCTGTGCTCAGACCACACCATGAATATGCAGGGAGGGTGTACCAGGGCCTCCTCCTTAGGGGCTGGACACACTGGACCTTTGGCCCTGAGTTACAGAGGTCAGAAACTAGAGTAGGATCTTGGGTGAGGTCATTGGGGCCATGCTACTACCACCTTCCTCTGTAATGTTTCTTCTGGCTGGGAAGGGGCTGAGGCTTCTAAGGTCCCCTCCCTGGAGGCCCTTGGCCCAGCCCCCCACCTCCCTACGCCCCATGAGAATGGGTTCCTCTTACCTGCTCCATCTCCTTTTTGCTCATGCCAAATTTATAGTGGCCAAGGAGGAAGGGCCAGACGTCCTTGCGGATCTCATGTTCCACACCTCCGTAGTACACCTGCCTTAGCAGCTCCAGCTCCTTATAGTTCTAAGGGGCCCAGGGGTAAAGACTATGTGGCTCCCACAGTCACAGTGCTCCAGCTGGTTGAGCCCCATCCCATGGAGGGGGGGGCCAAGGCAATGGCCTTCAGTCATTCAGCTTAGGGATGGCCATGTCCTCCTGTGCCCCAGGTTACAAGTGGATGAGATCTAATTCACCCTCCTTCCTTACAGGGCAGGAAATGGAGCCCAGAGGGAGGTGGCGATCAGCCTGAGGTCACAGAGCAATATGGAAGCAGAACAGATTCTCAGCCTAGTTCTTTCCCACATGGACCCACAGACCCAACTGTATGTGATTCCACTATGACATAGTTACTCCATGGCCATCAATCCTGGCCTGTCAACCCCACGCCAAACACATTTTCCCCGAATGCCCATTTAGTCTATAAAAACTGCTCCCAGACCCGACAGCTATGCACAACTACTGCCCACTCCAGCCCTCTACCTGGCCTCTGGCTGCAGAGCCCCAGTTTATACCTTTTTGTCCTTCTGATACTTGCTCCACACATCCTTGGTGAGGCCTCCCAAGGCCCCTGGGGGTCGATCAGGTGGGATAATGTTGTGATGCACCAGTGCTGACAGGTGGGTCCGTACTGTGGACAGGTGGCGGCAGTAGGCCAGCCCTGCAGTGGGGAGCAGGAGACTGTACCAGAAGTGCATCCCCACCCCCTGGTCCCTCACAGTCCCATCTCACCACACACTCACAGCCATAGAAGGCCCGGGACACGATCTGCCTCTTCATGCTCTTACACAGCAGCCTGAGGGGCAACCTGTGGAAACAACCTGGTTCAGAGGCCCAGGGCTGTGGCCTGAGGCGGAGGAAGGATGAGAGGGAAAGATATTCTGGCCTAGGAGGCAGGCAAGGTCCTTAGGATGGCACAGGGAGCGGCACAGCAGCATGTCAACAGCTCCCCGTCCCTGCCAGTCAACATCAACTTTGCTGCCAGGGATGGAGGACACCAGCCCCCCACCACCCAGCAATCTTGGGCAACTAATTTCCCCTTAGTGAATCTTGGTTTCCTCACGTGAAAATGAAGAGACGCACCTCAGGGCATAAGGAGTAGCAGTAAAAAAACATGAAGTAACAATTTAGAGGAAAGCACCCAGCCACTTGCCCTACAAAAAGGCTATTTGCATATTGCTCTTACACATGGCAGGTGCTCAGAGACTTGTTGAGTGTCCTCAGACATATAGCCTGACAGTAGGGTCTATGCGCACACTAGGAAGGGGAACTCACAAGTGTTGGGCACCTATTTGTGTAGGCACATGCCTGGCATTCACTTATTCAGTCCTCACCAGTGCTGTAGGAAACAGGCAATGTTATCTCCATTTTATGAATGAGGAAACTGAGGTTTAAAAATGTAGAGGCTAGAGCGCTAGCCTAGCACACGTGAGGTTCAATCCCCAGCACCACATCAAAAAACTAAATAAACCAAATGAAGGTACTGTATCCATCTACAACTCAAAATGTCTTTAAAAAAAATGTAGAGGAGAGCTGGGGATATAGCTCTCTTGGTAAAGTGCTTGCCTTGCATGCACGAGGCCCTGGGTTCAATTCCCAGCACCAAAAAAACAAACAAACAAACAAAAAATGTAGGAGTGTTGGGGTTGGTAGAGCACTTGCCTAGCATGTGTGAGGCACTAGTTTGATCCTCCACACCACATAAAAACAAATAAATAAATAAAATAAAGGTACTGTGTCCACCTACAATTAAAACAATTTTTAAAAATATTTGTTTTTTTAGTTTTAGGTGGACACAATATCTTTATTTTATTTTTATATGGTACTGAGGATTTAACCCAGTGCCTCATGCATACTAGGCGAGCACTCTGCCACTGAGCAACAACCCTAGTCCCTAAAAAAAAATATTTTTTAAAAAAATGTAGAGGCTCAGAGAGACCCAGCAACTTGCTGAAGTCACCTGTATATCACAAGTGAAATTTGAATCCAGGTTTGTCCAACTCTAGAGACAACCCTTGTCATGCAAGTGACAGCCTCTGAGGACAGAGGGACACACATGAACAGACATGCTAACAGGAAGCTGATCTGGGCCCTACCCACTCACCGGTCTGGGACACAGCTGCAGTGACTGGGGGTTGCATATGGGGAGCTGTTAGAGGAGCAGGAGAGGCAAGAGGAGCGCTGGCTGCACAGGGGTTCTAGGTGCCAGGCTGTCAGGCTGGGCCCAAAGCCCTGCATCTCGATCATGTCGCCAGCATCTGAGGGCAGGAAGGGGCATGGTCAGCAGCTGGAAGGCCTCCTCCCCCAAGCACCCTGGGGTATGCCCACCTCTGTGCCCAGAGCTGCAGCATAAAGTCACCCGTTGGTGGAAAAATCACAGAGGTGGTTGCTGCCTGGTGCAGAGCCCAGAGATGGAAATGGTGGAAGAGGGCACTTGACACTTCTCAGCCTTCACTAAACCCAGAGAGGTTGTCTTTCATGTGTGATAAAATACTTGGACTGAGTCAAGGGTGATTTGCTTACCTACCTCTATCTCACTACCAGCAAACTCTTGCTTTTCTAGAGGGAGGGGAAGGAAAGAGAAGGAATAGCCAAGACCTGCTGAGCTCTCTGAAATGCTACCAGTTAGCCTGACCTCTAAGGGCTTGGCTTGATTCTCTAGAGTAAAACTCTGAGATGCCCAAGAAGGTGCTTGGAACACCTCAATCTGTGACCCTGCCCAGACAGGGGAGTCTCTAGTGACTAAAGCCCCTGAGGGTCCCTGAGCTACTTGTCCACAGGCCTCACTCTTTGAGGGATTTTAGATCTGGTAGCCAGTGGCTAAGTAGCACAGTGCTCCCTGCCAAGGCTGGACACTTTGAAGCCTAAATGGACTGCACTAGATATGGCGGCTCTGCTCAGGTAAGCTGGAAGGGACGGCGGAATTCCGAAGGCTGCCAGGGACTCTGGCATCCAATGCAGAAGTCACAGACAAATGTACCCAGGTACAGCCTCCTAAGATGACTCCTTGGATATGTCTACACCAATGCAGATGGAACTTTCTCAGCCAGCCCTGCTGGTCTAAATCAGAACCCAAGACCCTTGAGAGTTTCCAGGACCCAAGTAGGGCAGGGCACTGCTCAGGGGAGTACTGATAGGTCCAGGAACCACAGAGATGAAGCACAGTGAGGGCAGGAAATGAAAGGACCCAGAGGTGATACCACAAGGGAGGGAGAGAGCACAGCAGAGTGAAGAAGAACAAGGAGAGAGAGCTGTGTGTGCTGAGGACACTGTTTCTTTCGGCTGTGGCTTTCTTGGTGAATCTAGTGTGGTCCTGGCCCACCATGGACTGGAGCAGGCCTGGGCCTGGTTTTTCTGGGACTCAGACTCCAGCTCTGGGTGTGCCTTATAAGGAGGGCTGAGCTGATTCTTCTCCAGGCCCCTCAGGGATTGCCTTGCCTTGCCCTCCCCCCCCCCCAAGATCCATGGCAGGTATTTGTGTAGATATCTGGCCCTTCAGCTCCAACAGGAGGCAAATTAAGGAAACATACTTGGTGGGGTGGGGGCTGCGGCTCTGGGAGTGAGGGATTGCAAGCCATGCCTGAGATTCTAGGAAGAAAAGAGGGAAGGGGCAAAGTGCAGGTGGGGTGGGACAGGAGCCCAGGTCATGCCCCTGCAGCGAGAGAGAGGCCAATCCTGGGAGGAGCCAAGGTAAGAGTTGGCCCAGCTGGACAGGCAGCAGGCAGCAGGCGGGCAGGCAGGGAGGGTGACAGGTGCAGAGGGTGGAGGGTGGGCACATGGGGAAACCAAAGCTCATGCCCAGAAAGCAGGGCCCAACCAAGGCAGGTCTCCTGGGTCAATGCTCTTCACCTTAATTCTCCAGGAAGGAGCTGAACCAGCCAGCACTGACTGAGCATGGCATCTGAACAACCCAGTGCAGACAGCTGGAGCTCTGGAGTGACTGGGTGAGGGGCAGCAGGCTGGATGGGGGGTCTGCTGGGTTAGCTTTGACTCTGACTCTCTCCTCTGAGCATGAGGAAAGTGTAAAGCAAACAATCAGGGTGAGTGAACCCCACAGCCCCTAAGACTCCGAGTGAAAGGTGCCTGGCCTGGAGCAGAATTAGAGTGAACAGCATCTCTGCTCGTTCGGGGAGGCAGCAGGGAAAGGAGGGAGAGGAGGGGGAGGAGGAGATCTGGACACCCCGCCACTTGAGTCACATGCACAAGTCAAGCATGTTGCAGGCCTCAAAAGCAACGGCTAGCAGAATGGACTCAACAGTGTTGTCATTATGGACTGGAGTGGAAGTGGGGGCTCCCATCCCCTATCCCCTCTCCCCCAACCACTGACAGATTCTGCTCTCATACTTCCTCCCCTTTCCCAAGTACTGGGGGCCTCAGGACTGCATCCTGGGTTGTCTAGCCCCTGAGTTCTACAAGAGAATGCCCAGACAAATCCCAGGTCCTCTGGGTCTAAAGTCTCTGATCCCAGAAGCCTCAGCCTTAAGACTGGTCAGGAATGACTTTTCTTTCTCTCTCTCTCTCTCTCTCTCTCTCTCTTTTTTTTCACTAGGATTGAACCCAGGGTCATTTTACCATTGAGCTATATCCCTAGTCATTTTTTTATTTTTTATTTTGAGACAGGGTCTTGCAGTTGCTGGGGCTGGTCTCAAACTTTAGATGATCCTGCCTCAGCCTCCCAAGTGGTTGGGATTTCAGACAAGCACTACCATGCCCGGCAGGGATGGCTTCTCTAATACCAAGTCTGCCAAGACAAGGGTTCTTTGAGACCTACAGCCTCCAGCCTCTAGCCTGACTGCCAGTTCATGGGATAACAAGGTCCCTCTCAAAGCTTAACCTTCCTACTCAAATTCAGTTAACCCGTAAATAAGCATCAGTGCCAAGTCCAATTTGCAAGGAAACAGATGGCAGGCATGTATATAGGCAGTAAGTTAGAATATTCCTACCTGGGCCTGGCCTTCAGACTTTTGTTGGAAGGTCTGGTAGGGAGGGCAGGCCCCAGGGCAGGATGTGGCAGGAAGAGAAGCAGCTGGCAGGGTTAGCTAACGGGGTGCTAAGTGTGGGTTAAACCACAGATCTAGCTCTCCTGGGATGGTGGCATATTATTGGCTTAGTAGCCGGGCTAAGGAATAGAGTTCCTTAGCAGAACTTTATGGAAGCATAAGGAGAGTATTACATATTCTTAAGACTCCCTCTTTTGGGGCAGGGAAAGCAATTAATTCTGGCATGAAATGGTTAGGGATAGAGAAGTTTGCTAATCTTCGAGAGCTGGCTTAGCCCCTTCTGATCAGCCTTTCCTTAAGAGTCCCTTCCTAACCCTCACAACACTCCTGGCTGACAGCTCTCCAAAAAGAGTGGGATTCCCTCTCTACCAAACCATCTCTGTGCTAAGACAGACAGTGTGGGCAGGGGAACACTGAGGGACTGCAGGCACTGGGTTATGTTATTCCCAATGAAGGGGACCTCTTCAATCATGAACTCTAAGGTCTGTGAGGATGGGACACACCTGTCTGACATCTCTGGCACAGCACGTGGCACAGATGAAGAAACCGAGCTTTGAGATGATGAGGTACAGAAAGCCAGGGGCATATCTGGGGCAGGAATTTATGTTGCCATGTCCTAAGTCTATGTCCCTTCCTGGACATTCTGTTGCAGATATTTCTAGATTTCATGCTAAAGTACCAGGCCATACCTGCGGAGCCTGCAGGCCTGCTGGGAAAACAGAGCCCTAGGGTCTCTTCCCAAAGTGGCCCCTGACCTGTCTGACTCCAGGAAGGGTCTGGTACCCCTATCCTGTTTCTATCAAGTCAGGAGTCAAAAGCATAGGACTGAGGCTGCCTTTCCCAATCAGCAGGAGAAAAGGAAAGAGACCACTATCTGGTGCTTGCCGGCAGGAATGCTAGGTGCAAGGAGGGGCTCAGGGAGCCATTCAGCCCCCCAAGAGGCAATCAGATAGTCAGCCTTTCCCTTCAGAGGCTCATCTTCCCTCTCAGCATGAAGCCTCCTCCTTATACTCAGAACTATTCACTCTATAATGTCCCTCTTTTTGCCAGCACCTGTCTAGCTTCCTTGCATCCTTATCTGCCTCCTGATGGAAGGGAACCACCCTGGGTTAAGTCCCCTAATGCCAACACTGCTGTTTGAGCCCTGTGGTGGGTGGCAGGTGGGCCCAGGGGGTGGGGTGGAGGATGAGGTGGGTCAGGGATGGGGAGGGATAAAAACCTTTCATCGGATTGGGAGCTGTGAGGTTCCGCGAGCAGATCATTGAGAGCATCGAGTGCAGTTTATCCTCCTCTTCCTCATCATCGTCCACCGAGGCCGCGCGGCTGGCCGCTAGGTGGTGGTAGTTAATAGTGACTGCTCAAAGAGAATAGCGAGAGAGGCAGAGGCATGAGGACCCTAGTCCCTGGGTCAGTGGGACCAACTCCTTCCTTGAGGTGAGTGGCATGGAGCTGGGATCACCTTGAACCTGTAGGGCATAGAAGATGGGCGTGGGGGGTAGCCTGAGAGCCCTCTGATGAGTACTTAGGAGAGTATAGAAGGCAAGGGACTGGGCGGCAGTTACAGAGCCCTACTCTTCGAAGGGGCTCTTTCTAGAAAAAACAGAAGAGAGAGAACTGGTGTGTATATGTGTGTGTGTGAGAGAGAGAAAGAGAGAGAGAGAGAGAGAGAGAGAGAGAGAGAGAGAGAGAGAGAGAAAGAGAAAGAGTGAAGGAGAGAGGGAGGGAGAAATATAGGAACTATTTGGGATAGGTTGGCAACTTAGGAGCTCGCCAGCCCTGGCCAAGGTGGACAGGACTACTGGCAGATGGTCATGGTCATTCTTCAGCTCTCATTATGGTCAGACTGAATCGAATCTGAAATTTACCCCAAACTCCCATAGACTCAACCTTTTCCTTCTCTAAGGGTTTTCCCAGAGCTGCCTTGCCCTTGAGAAGCCCGAGTCCCTCAGCTGAGCTTCAGCTCCTGTTGCCCTGGCTTGCCTTTGGGGAATTAGGGGTTCTTAAAGTGAAGTTTCGAACATTGGGAAATGCCATCAACTGAAGAGAGGAAGGAGAGACTGAAGAATCTAAACTAAACAACAACCTGAGATTAAATGCCAGGTTTGCAAACACATTCAGGCAAAAAGATGTCTCCTTGTCAGGCCATCTGGGAGGGAAGCGGGGATTCTCCTCACCTTGTGCCTTCCAAACTTTTGGGGACAATTGGTGCTGTGGCTACATGTATGCTGTTTGGGTCATCTGCCCTCCAATACTGAGACAACTTATTGACAACTTTTTGGTACCAATTAAGAAATTTAGGGAGAAGGTGGTCTGGTGGGCAGTAGATACTCTGGGATGGCAAATTCTCTGACCTTATCTACGTGAACCGTGAGTCTCAACAAGAGAAACCTATGGGTTGAAGCAGCAGAAAGGGAAGTTTGGTGTTGGTAGATACTCAGAGATAGAGTATCTCTGAGATAGAGTATCTCTTAGGCCGAGGGGTGTCTGACAAAGGCAGGCAGGACCTATGAGGGCCCAACTACCTTTGGGACCCCAGCCCTCAACATCCAAATCTCACCCTCTTCAGAAGCAACCCCAACCTCAGTCAGAGCTCCTCTTGTCAAATGCTGGCTTGAAGAGAGCTCCGGCTCTAGGGGAGTTGGTGAAAAACTTGCTTTGTCCAAAAGAAGCGCAAGTCCCATGCCCAGGCTGCCTTGTGGAGGTTGAGAGGCAGGTGGAAGAGAAATGGAGAGTTTTCTACCTTCTATTTCTAGTCCCTTCACATTTTCCCCCCCTGGGGTGGAGCATGAAAGGTGACTAAGAATCTTGTGCATGACACCTGGGTCTCCTGAGCCAAGAGTCTCGGGGAAAGAAACAGGTGGGGAAGACTGCTAGGAAGAGAGGTGAGCTCTCAGGGGATGATCTGCAGGTGAAAGGTCCAGAAGAGAGGTCAGTAATGACCTCATCTTAATCTGGTCTGGTCAGGGGACCCTGCCTGACATTCTCTTGGGTGATAGAGTATTCTCTACCTCCCTGAGCATCTTTCTGTCCTCCTCCACTAAGGAAGCTTGGGACACTCACTGTGCTCGTGCCTATGCCCAGGGTAGATGATCCGGAACACGTAGTCTGTGGCCCGCCCCATGCCCAGCTCCTCCACATCCACAGGTCGCATGCTACTGCGTTTCCGCAGCTTGGGGAACACCTTGCCCTGTGGAGAGAGGTAGTGGTCAGCCTGTCCAGGGCAGAGCCCTATCAGGGTCCGGCCTAAGAACTCCGGAGTAGAGAAAGAAAGGGCAGTGGCCAGAGAGCCACCCATACAGCCCTGCACCCAGAGACTCCCATTCCCTGTGGTACCTTCCCCTGCTGGGTCCACAGTGGGGGCTCAAGCTGTCCTCGAGGCAGAAGCCCATTCTCCAGACAGGACAGAAAGGACAGCAGGTGTCCTCCCTGTGGGAAGTGCAGTGGTGGTCTCTGGATGCCGTCCTGGCTCACCAGCACAAGTGTGCCACCGCTCTCTGGGGGTGAATGTGGGCAAGTGAGCTGGAGCCCTCCTTGGACATCCCACTCAACCATTACCCTAGCCCTCTAAGCCAAGTGCCCCAGACTGGGTAGTAGAACAGTCAGGCTGGAATGTGGCCTGGGAGCCTCATTAACAGGGATAGCAGGAGGGCCAGGGTAGAGCCCAGTGGCAAATTACATGCTTAGCACACACAAGGCCCTGGGATTTGATCCCTAGCACCACAAAAACAAAACAAAACAAAAACCAACCAACCAACAACAAACAAAAAACAGTGACAAGGAGAGGGAAACAGGAAGTCTGACAGGCCCCATGCTCAGCATACAATTGAGAGAAGGTGTCTCTGCCCTCCCACCCCTGTGCTGGGACAAGCAGACTCACTTTGTTGATGGCAGTGAATACAGACGATCTGACTGAAGGGCACCACCAGGGCATAGTCCCAGTAAACACTAGAAAGGAATCAGATTGATGTCACTGTGTCCCAAGATCTACTATTCTCCCTTCCTTCAGCTGGCCCCAATACCTCTTGAAACTACCCTGAAGATAGGATGACCACAGAGGAGAAGTAACCTCAGTCAGTCATGTCCCTCTGAGCCCCATGCTGTCCTCATGGCACAGGGCCCATCAGTCTCTACTGCCTAGAGCTGGGCTCAGTCCCAGAGAGCTTGACAATCACTCCAGGTGGCCTCTCCCTACCATGTGTGGCTCTGGGATAGCAGTGGGGCCTGCCTCCAGGAGCAGTCTGGGTCTTTCCACACCCCACTCCCTTCCCTGGCTCCTGGGAGACGTGCCAAAGCCCCACCTCTTTTCCAGCTCAGTGTCCCCCAGAGTCCCGTTCATGAGCTGGTTGGGGGTCCACTTCAAAGTTAGGCTCTCTGCAGACTGGTGTAGAGAGAGGTAGCCAGGGACAGCCTCCATGTCCTCCTTCTATAGGGAGGAGACACAGCAGAAGACAGAGACAGTGAGGGGCTGGGAGGTGCCCCAGGATTGCCCATGGAAATGAACTCCAGGTGGGAGCAGGGTAGGCCAGGCCAGGCCAGTCATGGGGTTCTGACTGGGCTGGAGCAAGTGAGAACAAGAGCCATCTGGCCATCTCCTCTTCCTGGCTGGCCTGGTGCCATTGGCTCTGTCACGTTAGCCTCCTGGATGCCAGGTGTGTCCTGAGCCAGCCACACCCAGCTGAGCATTCACCCTGCCTTCTGGCTGCCATTCCTACCCCTGGATGGCCTGGCTCTCTATCAGCCAGAGCAGATGCCACCTGGCTCCTGCCAATTTCAGGCTGGACATGAGTCATATGAAACAGTGAGGTGGGGGTGGGGCTATGTTACTCTTTCTCTCAGGTCAAGCTCCTTAGGAAAAGAAAAAAACTGTGGCTGGAAGCTTTCAGTTCCAGGGCCTTCGGAAGAGGGAAACTGAGGTTGGCATCAAGCTTTCCTACCGGCTGCACCAGCACGTTGTTCTTGCCGTAGAGCAGTTGTGTTCTTGAGTTCTGGTGCAGGGACTCCACATACTCGCGGGCACAGGCGGCTAGCCTGTCCTCTGATGCACTGCCACTAGAATGTCGCTTCCGGATCTGACAGGAAAGCCATGGCTCATCCCTGGCCTCAGGAAATCAGCCACAGGACTTGAGAACCCTCAGGCTTCCATGACAACCCTTTCTTGTTGACCCCAGGCCTTCTTGCCCCCCCAGTTTGTTTTCAGCCACCCTTTCATTTCCAGCCAAGAATTGGCACAGGTTTGTGGCATTTTTTGCAAGTGGGGAGAAGGCTCTCTAGGAGTGGCTACTACCTGGGGAGCCAGATTCCCCTCCCTCTAATCTCATGAACATAGCCTGAATAAGTGAGCAAGGGGATGGGGAGAGGGACACCCACCCCCAGGGCAGGGCGCTTTGCAGGAGAATCCTGGCGACTAGGGGGACCCCGGATACGGTGCCTCTGGACTAGCTCATCAGCAGAGGGGTCAGTCCAATAGTGATCAGCCGTCTTGAGCTTTGTGTATTCCAAGGCACAGGGTCCCACTGTGGAGACAGGGATGTTAGCTTGAGGAACTAGAACTGCCCCTTACCCACGCCCCACAAAGGCCTATAAGCTCTCAGGCTCACCTAGAAGAGAGGCCAGGATGGGGCCAAACACAGGGTCTGCCAATAATGCTTCCTTCTCGTAGTACTTGCTGCCAGCGGGAGGGAGACAGGGTGATTGTCAGTGCTCTTGGACCTGGTCCAGGGTGGTGAAGCTCAGCAGGGAGGGACAATCCCCACAACGTCAGATTCATGTCAATCACCAAGGAAAGTGTATAGGATGGACTTTTGCGGGGTACCTGGTATGGTCTATGCTTTTGGAGTACTTAAAGGGGAGCTGGAGGCATGACTATAGGCTATCCTGACCGTTAAGCAAGGAGAGGCACAGGGCTGAGGAGGGAGCTAATTGGGGAATGGGGCAGTCACCTGCAGTTCTCCGCCAGGTACTGCACAACCCTGTCCAGAACTTTCTCCATGAGTGCTGTGCGTACCCATATGTGCTTCAAGGCCTGTGGGCTGAGGACCGGGGCCTTCCCACCAGCTGAGCCCTGTTTCCGCAGGGCCTCCTGGCCACCTCCTGAGGGTCTCCTGCAATGAGGAGGAGGAGGACTTCAGAAGTATAAGAGCTTGGGGGTAAACCACAGGTCTGTGGCACTAGGAGTGAGAACTGGTGCCACAATATGGGAGACCAGAGAGTTCCTGAGCAGGAACAGGGAGTCAAAGGGCACTGAGCCCTTTGCAAGCTTAACTGTCACCCACAGGCTGATCCCTCACCCAACAGGTCCTGTAAGAGATGGGCCAGGAAGCCAACCTCTAGGTAGGTTTTCCTGGGAGGTAGCAGATGGCCAACTGGAAAGAGTGGAAGAGAGGGCCAGGAAAAGCTGGCGTGAGGCTTACCTGCCCTCTACTTGTTGTTGCAGCTCCTGTACCTTGTGGCAAATCTCCCCAGCCACAGGGCACGTTTTCCCCACCTTGGTGAACAGAGCTGCCATCTTGTCACTGCGCAGGAAGCCAGCAGCACGGCGTCTCAGTTGATGCAGGAGGCAAGCCTCCACAGCACCTGGGCCACAAAGGAAAACAGCACCTGAGTCTGGGCAAGAAAAGGGACACTCCTGTCTCCCATGCCTATGGAAAGGCAGGGGCAAGGGCAACTGATGAAACTAGGGGCAGGCCAGGAGGTACCCTGACCACCTCCTAACCCTCCCCTCCCCTCCCTGTCCTTCTGCCCTTGTCTAGGGTGGACCTGCAATAGCCAAACCTTTCCCTCACCTGGTGTGTGCATGGCTCCTGTATCAAGTATCACTCCTGGGGGGACTGTGAGGACCATAGCTACCCACCGGGTTTGGCATGAATGGCTCTACCCAACCAAGAGGGCAAGCAGGGATAGCACCTACAGGACCGGGAAACAGAGAGCACATGGCCCGGCCGCCCTCCTAGAGAGTATGGTGATGTGGTTGCTAAGGAACGAGGCACTGGAGGAGCTGCAATATTAATGAAGCCACTGCAGAGATCGGACCTGACAGCAGCCCCTGGATTATTGATGAGCTCAGCAGCTGAGAGAGAGAGAGAGAGAGAGAGAGAGAGAGAGAGAGATTTCTCTTTTCAACACTGGGAGGGCTTTCCTTCGTTCATTCATATTTTTAGGGACTAAAATCGCTTTATCTGGATCCTGCTTACCACAGAGAGACCCTGCAGGAAGGAAAGGAGGACTTGGTGGAAGGAACTGCGCTGGGCAGACACAGAGTAAAAACATTAGTTTGTGTGGGATTGGGGTGGGCTTGACCAGTACTGAGGCCAGGCTGAGTGAGCTGTGCTGGCGACAAGATCTGAACTTGGTGCGGCCACTTGCTGCTTCTGTGAAACCTAGGTAAGTGACTTGATACTCTCAGCCTCAGTTTTATCATTTGTGAAGTTGAGAAAGCTTCTTAGGACAAGTATGAGATGTCACATGAGATGGAACATGAGAAACCCCTTGCACAGGGTCTGACTTTTGAGAGCCACCGGATACACGTCACCTTACCTTCTCTGTTCAGGGACTCTTTTATAGCCAACCTGTAAGAGCCAGGTATGGCAGGACCTGGGTGCATCAGAGAAAAGATCACAGCCTGCCCCAGAGGCAGATGGAGGTCCTGCTCTCTTGGAAATGAGGGAACCGAGGGTCAAATTTATTCTGACTAGCAATGGTTAGGTTGTGGAACCTGGACTTCAAGAAAGAATTACTGAAAGGAAAAAAAAAAAAAAAGAATTACTGACAACTCTCATCCGTTTTCTGCCTTTGTTTTGGATAACTGACAAGCAGTCACTGCTGTCCTATAAAAGGAGTTTGGCCTTCTCTTGGACTGAGAGAGACTGAGTCCCTGTGGCCTCCTACAGCCAGCTCAGTGAGAGAATCCAGGGGAGGGGGAACAGGGAGGCTCCCTCTCCTGAAGCTCATCCCTGCTCTGACCTTAAAGGGCTTTGTTTTACAAGGTGCTGCCTGTCCTCGACGGTGTGGTCACCCACCTACACACATGTGTATGGAGACGGAGCTATATGCATTTATCATGTGTTTATAGGGCATCAGAGAGATCTTTTGCATAAGTGTCCACATGTTCTTCACTGCGATCAGTCCCCTGGTCCCTGGAGGTCTTATGTGTCCCTAGGATATATAGGTAAGTGACTTCTCGGTCTCAGTCTCTTGATCCTGATGCAGGAAGGTGGTGATATTTCCCTGGGTTGTACTCCTCATCTAGGAGAGAGAAGTCACACTGAACAGAGCCAGAGTGGCAGCAGGTGGCACTAGTCCTGCAGGATATCATGTGCTTCAGTGATATGTCTAATTGCAGGGATAATGAGTCATTAGCCTTCCCACCTTCCCCAGGCAACTGCAAATGCAGGCAGGCCAGGGCGCTGGGGACCTGCTAGGCCTCACTCATCTTCTCTGCCAGCCTCCCAGCTCTGAGAGAGGAGGCTTTCCTCAGAGAGTACTGCAACAAGGGAATACTGTCCCAGTGATCACCCCTAAGTTTCTTCCATGAAATCTAGGCAATGTGCCAGGCCTGTCTAGGGAAGGAGAAATCTGCACCCTCAACCTTCCAAACAAAGCAAATGACCCCTTAGGCCAGATATTCTCTGTCTAGTTCCATGTGCTCCTTGGTTGGTGATTGTTGAAAACAGTTGCCCTTGACCATTCTCACAGCAGTGCGCCCGAAAATCAGCAAACGTGATGAAAAATGTCATGTGTGCAGTGTGTAGGCAAAATTAATAACATTGATGATGATAATAACAATAGAGAATCCCTATCTCAGGGGGTTTACAGATGGGTTTCTTGGACTCCACAGACATCCTGAAATTGTATAGAATCTGTATAAAAGTTGTTGTGCTCTAGAATGCTTAAGGAGTGCTTTTTTTTGTGGTGCTGGGGATTGAATCCAGGGCCGTGTGCATGCTGACTTTTAGCTTTTAAAAGTGGGTACCTGACCCCAGAAAGATTAAGAACCCCTGCTCTAACACTTGAGTTGGGCAGAAATCCAAACATTCCCACTGAAGGAAACTCAGATGCAAACATAACCATACACACGCTCTCTCTAATACACAGTGAATACAACAATCACAATTGCCCACAGAACCATAGGCAATAACAAGCAGCTCTGTTCTGAACTTCCTCCTAAAGAAAGGCCTTTCACAGAAAGAACAGGGGAATGTCAAGTACTCTTCCCATGGGAAGTTTAACTGAAGGCCCATGCTTATTATCTCCTCCCTTCAGGGAGAGCTCAGGGCACCAAGCAGGGGAACTCTAGGGCATGTCTCCTTTCTGCCCTAGTTCTGCCACCATGGTCCTAGCTCTCAGTGTGGAGGCCATGCTGGAGATGTCCATAGAACTAAGACACCAAGTTGGCTGAGCCCATCCACCTGCTAGCTGAGCTATCTGGGTCCTTGGCACCCAGCTCCAAAGGCTTCAGGGCTCCAATCCCAGTGGGTCTTGGTACTACCCACAGCCACTCTGGATGCATTACAAGGTAACAGCCTGTAATAGTATCATTTACCTCATTTCATATGAGAAAGATTTTTAATTGTTAATAAAAAAAATCAATACTAGTTGGGGTGGAAAGGCTTGGGCAAATGAGTCAAAATAGAGAGACATGACTTAACAAGCATGATACTCTTAACTGCCGACCCTGATCTTCTGGTGGCCTTTAGAGTTCGGGCCTGATGAGACCAGGGTAACTTCTCCACTGTCATCCATTCCATCCCACTAACAAGAAGATTCAGAGAACTAACTACAGTTCTGAGTAGGCAGAATCATAACCAAATTTAATTTCAGCACCTTGCTATGAACACCTCCCACCCTCCACTGAAAGGTCTGATGCCATCTTCCCAGGGAAAGGCTGGGAACCATAGGCCGAGATTAGCCCTAGCCTCTTCAGTCCCCCTCAAGCCCATAAAGGTATGGAGTTTAACAAATACTATCTGGGGCTAGAGATCACAGGTGCTAATGGAATTCTATAGGGCCCTACCTCCCGTCCCCTTACATGCTTATTTAACCATTCCAAGGATACCACTGTAGAGTGAGACACTGGGGAGACAGAGATAAAGGGAAGTGGAAAGTTGCTGAATTTTCTCGTATATTGCTGGTGGGAGGCGATATGGTACTATAAATGTGCAGATAATCTCTGACCCAGCAATCCCTCTTCTGGAATCTTCCCTGTTGATATAACTGCTTGATTACTTAGTTTAACAGCAAATACTGGAGACCATCCACATGTTAGTCAATAGGGGTCATGTTTTGTAAATTTGGCATATTCACACAGTAGAATATTGTGTAACTGAAAAAGAATGAGATGTACTCTCAAAAGAACAATGGAAAGCACTCCAAAAGGAAGATGCAGGACAATATGACCACATGGCACCTTTGAATTACAAAAAAGGTGAGTGAACAAAGATTATATATATTTAATTTCTAGAAGGGTACAGAAGAAACAAAAAACAGTGACTTGAGTGGAAATGGGCAAGGAAAGGAATAAGGCCTTTGAAGTACACCTTTTATATAATTCTGATTTTTGAATCAGGTGAACGTATTACCACTTCAAACCAATAATTGTAGTAGTTGAGTAAGTGACCATCAAGGGTCTGATTATGAGATGAGGCCAGAATCTCCAACTCAAGAGTGAATCAAATTCACAAACCTCAGAAAGCCTCGGTCTGTCCATGACACTGGCTCTACCTGTCTCCTTTCACCAGCTCCCTTAGCAAATATAGTCTTCCAAGATGGTTTGGTTCCTTACCCCTTGGGGAACCTGCTTAGGGCAACAGCAGGTAACCTGAGCTGGGCGGGGATAGGAGAAACAACTCCATGGGCTGGGACAAACCAAGGTGTCTCAGGAGCTCACAGAAATAAACTGAAGCTATGGTTTCCAGGAAATGCAGTAGTGTTTGGGGAGGGGTCCACAGTTGGTCCAAGGGGGCCTCAGAAACAAGGCTGGCTCTGGGATGGTTCTCCCAGTCTGCCTTGCCTCTCATGTGCATATATATTTATATTTAAAGCTATGCTCTACAGACACGGGCCTGGACAAGCCCAGTTTTGTTGAAGTGCAGAATCATAGCACCTACAGTTGGTACAGTCTGACATGAATCTGGGTCCAGGACACTCAGCCAAGAGGCACTGGGGACAGGAGTAGAGGAGGTATGGCAAGCACAGCCTACTCCCCCAACCTCTGGCTCAGTTTCACCTTTACTCCCAGCTACCATCTGTACAATGAGGGAGTTCAGTAAAAGTTGCCATGGAGAACCTGAGGGAGGGAAGTGCGGGCAGAGCAGTCAGTCACAGGTGGTTCAGTTTTGTCCTGGAGTTTTGGGGCCATCATTCAGAGCTGAATTTTCAAAAGCTTAATGCCAAAGGGCTTCTGGTTTAGGCCCCTGGATAATGGGACCAAGACTACCAGGAGGAGTAGCCTTCTGAAAGGAAAGAGAGGAAAGGTGGGGCTCTTCAAAGAAGGAACTTAGGTGAGTAGTTTTTCCCAGCTGTTGGAGAAGGAGGTTGGAACTTTAGTGGGCAGCAAATGAGGTGGGGAAGAGCAAAGAAGCATCTTCAGGCATCACTGACTTCTTTTCCCTATTTCTTCTTCTTCTTCTTTTTTTTTTTTTTTTTGCAGTACTAGCATTTGAACTCAGGCCATCCACATGCTAGACAAGTGATCTCCCATCAAGCTATATTTCCAGTCCTTTTGTGTGTGTGCGTGTGTGTGTGTGTGTGTGTAAAGAGCATCTGCCATAGACATAGACATGCTGGAACTCACTAAGTTGGTGGCCATAAATAACAGCAGCCATTGAACTGCTTAGTCATGTCTGCTTGCAATTGATAAAAAGCTATAAGGGGCACTAGCCAAAAGCATGCTTAGTAATGACTGGTTGCAATTGATAGGGAGCACAGCTTCATGGACACGTGCAAAGAACATGCCCAGCTGCAATTACATCACCTCACTGGACATAACCAATGGACGTTGACTTTCACTGGGTGTAACCAATTATCAACATACATCACCAACTTTGAATTATAATTAAATTGCTGGTCCTGCCACATTGAAGAGTTTTGCTCCAAGGACATCGGTGAGACTGGCCACCTTGCTGTCCATCTCTGGACTGACTTCACCATTCCCTGATGTCCAGCCTTTGGCTGGAGAGAAGGACAATGTCTGCTCTTGGGCTAAGAGAAGTTGCATGGCATGGGAGGTGTTTTGGGGGCTCATGGTTGCCCCACGATTGTGTAATTTGCTTATAGTGTTTAGTGTGCATTAAATGCTAGTTGGGGACTGGAATTGTGGCTCAGCGGTAGAGTGCTCGCCTAGCATGGGCGGGGCCTGGGTTGGATCCTCAGCACACATAAAAAATAAAGGCACTGTGTTGTGTCCATCTAAAATAAATATTAAATAAATATTTAATAAATATTTTAAAATAAATATTTAAAAATGCTAGTTGGGGTGCTCCCCCATATACCCAAAACTTTTTGCTCTAATTGTTTATATTTGATGATTATTGTGATTGAATATATGCTTGCATTTAAAGATAATCCACCTCTGAGTAATTATTAATAGTGCCACTTGCAACAGTGTGTGTGAGATTGAACCCAGGACCTCAAGCATGCCAGGTAAAGTACTCTGCCGCTGAGCTACATACCCAGGTCCCAATCCCAACCCTTTTTATTTTTTAAGACAGAGTCTCGTTAAGTTGCCCTCAAATTTGTGGTATTTTTGTTGTTTTGGTACTGGGAATTGAAACCAGGGACACTTAACCACTGAGCCACATCCCTAGCCCTTTTTTTATGTTTTATTTAGAGACAGGGTCTTATTAAGTTGCTTACGGCTTTGCTAAATTGCTGAGGCTGGCTTTGACCCCCATGCCTCAGCCTCCTGAGCTGCTGGGATTATAGGTGTGTGCCCCCGCACCCAGTGATATCCTTAAATTTGTGTCTCTACCTTTGGGATTACAGGCATGCACCACTCTGCCTGGCTTTTCCCTACTTCTTCTCTATATGGCTATTTCTACCCAGAGATTGGTAATGGCTACTTCCACTTAAAACCAACATTTCTACAGAAACTAAAATACATTTCTATTTTTAGAGTTTATTCATCGCTCATAGTTCCAGAGTTTCAGTCCACAGATGGTCAACTCCATTGTTTTGGGCCAAAGGTGAGGGAGAACATCATGGCAGAAGGGCGTGGCAGAGAAAAGCAGCTCAGGACATCATACCAGGAAGCAGAGTAACTAAATTACATTTTCCTCTCAGCTTGCTTTGGTGATGCTAGCTGTTTGCTTCAACAACATTCAGCTTTGCTCAACACCCCCAAATAAGAAAGCAACACTCCCATCCAGACTCTGGAAGGAGAAAAAAATTGCCCTGGTTTTTTGGAACCAAGGTGAGAGAAATGGAATTCAAGCCACATGTACCCATTTTCCTTGTCTTAGGGGGAATGCAAGGCAGGGTCTGCATGCACCAGGTTCACAGTGGCTTCCCAAGGAAGCAGGCCAGGGTCAGCCTCTCACACAGTGGAGAGAGACAGGCTCACTCAGTTCAACAAGGCACCCACCATCTCCGAGGGAGTCTCTGAACACCATTAGCTCTGTTAAATTACTGCAAGCTGAGTTTCCATGAGGGCCAACCAACTCCTCCACTCCCAGGCTCCACTCTTTTTTTTTTTAATATTTATTTTTTGGTTAAGATGGACACAACACGGGCTGGGGATGTGGCTCAAGCGGTAGCGTGCTTGCCTGGCATGTGTGTGGCCCGGGTTCGATCCTCAGCACCACATACAAACAAAGATGTTGTGTCCGCCGAAAACTAAAAAATAAATATTAAAAAAAAAAAGATGGACACAACACAATGCATTTTATTTTTATGTGGTGCTGAGGACTGAACCTGGGTCCCGCCCGTGCTAGGCAAGCGCTCTACCACTGAGCCACAATCCCAGCCCCCAGGCTCCACTCTTGATAAGCCTCAGAGGCACACCAAACCCTGTGTTTTCCCTGTCCTTCCCAGCTGTTTGACTTTGGGCAACTCACTAAATCTCTCTGAGCTTTAGCTGCAATTAGGTAAAATAACAGGTTCCACCTCAAAGGGTGCTGGATAACAAAAAGCAGCAAGTAGCAATGTAAAGGTGTAAAAGACTTCTTGGCCACTGCTTGGCACTCTGAAGGTGATCAGTGAGCCATGGTGTCTTCTTCCCTGTGCCTATGCTCATCCCCTGACTCCCCACCAGCACCTACCACACTATGGATTGTCTGTTCATGCTCTTCTCTCAGGCCTGCCTACATGCACAACCGGAGCAGTGCCCCCTTCACCTTTGGGAGGACTCGGCTCCCCGCAAATATCCCTTCTCTCTCCTATATCTTCAATTTTTCCTTATTAGGTACTTCCCATTTGAATATAAACATTCTATAAATTCTCCAGTTAAAAAAAAAACCATGAAACTGGGGTTGTGGCTCAGTAGTAGAACGCTTGCCTAGCATGTGTGAGGCACTGGGTTCGAATCTCAGCACCACATATAAATAAATAAACAAAATAAAAGTCCATCAACAACTAAAAAACAGATTTAAAAAAAAAAAAAAAGTACCAGCGTCACCTTCCTTGAACCTGCATTCCTATTTGCTTATTGTCTCATTTAGCTGCTCCCCTTTATTCAAGAAACCTCAAGAAAATGATCTGTTCTTAAAATCCCTCTCTCCTTCTCCTTCCATCCCTTCCTTCTCCTCCTCCTTCTCTCTCTCTCTGTACACACTGCTGGGGATTGAACCCAGGACCTCTTGCATGTTAGGCAAATATTCTACCTCTGAGCTACATCCCCAGCCCAGCCCTTCCATCTCCTTTAAAAAAAAAAAAATTCATTATAGAAAATTCCAACCATATACAAAAGAAGACAGTGTAATGAACCCCCATGTACCTATGACCCAACTTAAAACAGTTATCAGGTCACAACCAATCTTGTTCAGCTGAACTACCTGCTACCAAGTTTTTCTTACCTTTGCATTTCTTTTTAATTTTTTTTTTGTAGTTGCAGGTGGACAGAATGCCTTTATTTATTTTTTAAAATATTTTTTAGTTGTAAATAGACCTTTATTTAATTAATTTATTTATAGGTGGTGCTGAGAATCGAACCCAGTGCCTCACACACGCCAGGCGAGTGCTCTACCACTGAGCCATGACCCCAGCCCCCAGAATGCCTTTATTTTATTTGTTTATTTTTTATGTGGTGCTGAGAATCGGACCTAGTGCCTCACACTTGCAAGCCAAGTGCTCTGTCATTGAGCTACAGCTCCAGCCACGCCCCTGCATTATTTTGAAGCATATTTTGAACATCTACACTCTTAAAAAAATATGTACACATACCTTTATTGCACCTATAAAATTAATAACAATTCCCTAATATGATCAAAATTTCCCGAGTTCTTAAGAGTTCAAGTTGCCCTGAATGTCTAGAAGTTCCAGACTCCAGAAACTTGGATTCTCAGATGGAATCTTGGAGAAGCCTCAAGGAGGCTTTATGGGAAGGTTGTAAGGTCAGTTCTAAGAACAAAGTAGATGCCAGGTGCTTTGGTGCACGCCTGTAATCCCAGCGACTCAGGAGGCTGAGGCCAGGAGGAGTGCAAGTTCAAGACCAGCCTCAGCAACTTAGCAAGGCCCTAATAAATTTACTGAGATCCTGTCTCAAAATAAAAAATAAGGGGCTGGGGTTGTAGCTCAGTGGTAGAGTGTTTGTCTATCAGGTGTGAGGCACTAAGTTTGATTCTCAGCATCACATATAAATAAACAAATAAAGGTCCATCAACAACTAAAAACAAACAAACAAACAAATAAATAAATAAAAGGGCTGGTGTTGTAGCTCAGTGATTAAGTGACCCAGGGTTCAATGCCTAGTACCCTCCCACCGGAAAAAAAAGTTATTGAGCACTCCTATATACCCAGCTCCATGCTATATGCTTTATCTGTATCCTTCCCCTTCCCTTCTATTTTTTTTGAACTGGGGATCAAACCCAGAGCCTCATGCATACTAGGCAAATACTAGTCTACTACTGAGCTATGTCCCCAGCCCTGCATGGCTCTTCTGATCCTCATATCTACCTTATGGGTGTAGCCTTAGAGACGGGTAACTGGTTATGGTTACACACTGAGAGACTGTCAGGATGTTAAACCCAGGTCTGCTTAACTCCAAGGCCCAGCTACAGACTCCCACCACATAAACTCAGCCACGCCTCAGCACCGAATGAGGGGAACCAGTTCCTCCAGAGGAACTTCTTTCCTACTTGATCATTTCTGGATAGACTGCAGAAGTAAGATGGCCTGGGGATGAGCTGTTCATTCCATGCAGGTATGAAAAAGGAATCCTTTAACTTAAAAGAGATAGGCTGAAAACTGCCTTGGAGTCTGAATCTCAGAATGTACTGAAACATTTCTGGCTGCAATATCCCAGGTGGAATGCAAGTATCCCTTAGCACCTGCTTCTCTCCTAGCTTATTAGCATCCCCTTGCCATTCTTGAAGCAGCTCACTGCAGGGTAGACCTTCCTGGCTAATGAAGCTGCTTAGCAACAGGGAGCTGGTTAATAAAGCCCATGTTATTCCCAGCTCCACAGACTCCACCCCCATCTCCCATTACAGCTCATCCTCAGCCTGAAGCAACCCTCAGGCTGACCCATCTGCGGGAAGCTGCACCAGGAAGCAGGAGGCAGGGATGGCCTGCACCCTCCTCCCAATGCCTAGCTACTGGTGTGAGAAGACAGAGCCTAAGAACCTGCTTTGCCAGACCAGGAGTCTCTCTCTACTCACCAATCAGAAGAGAGTCACTGGAGATACTGCGGATGCAGATCTGAGCCAGAAGGGAGGGCAGCCCAGAGAAACAGGACTTCTCCAAGGCTCATGGATTGATGTTACAATTACCTGAACTACTTAGGATCTCTTTTTGGCAAGGGAATAACTGTGCCTCCTTCAGCACATGCGTTACTATTTCAGATGCAGGGTTCAAAGGCAAGCCTTGGGATGATTTGCTATTTAACTCTGACTTTCAGTGCTCTTCCCATAGGTACAAGTCAAATGCAGGGGATGGCAGGAGACACCAGCCTATAGGAGTAGGAAAGGGGTTCATGAAGACATAGGGAAAACATGAGCATTAATTTGATTCAATAGTCTTTTTTTTTTTTTTTGGCACTGGGGATCAAATCCAGGGTCTTATGCATGCTAAGCAACTACCCTACCACTAAGCTCCATCCTTGGGCCACAACAGTAAGTCTTTACATTAAAATTTAAAAATTCAGGGGCTGGGGTTGTGGCTTGGTGGTAGAGCGCTCGCCTAGCATGGAAGTGTGAAGCACTGGGTTTGATCCTTAGCACC